CCCAACTGAGCTATCCCCGCTTGCTGTTATTTTTAATGCTTAGTACAATAAAAGGTGTAACCTAAGAGACAGCAGGTTGGAGAAGATACTAATGGCACTCGGGAGTCGAGGACGAGGCCATCACATCCATCTCAGAAGCCGGTGCAGGAAGCGGTGGCCTCGCGGAGTTGATGTTCGCGCTCCACCTCCAATTGATGAACAAAGATACCTCATCGTGTTCGACGACGTCTGGAACATCGACGAGTGGTACGAAGGCTTAATGAGCTCGGGTTTGCCGGACGAAGGTGAATGGGCCGGTCATCTTCGTCTTGACCGTGTGTTGCCGAAGGACTGCGGCGGGTCGGTCATCGTCACGAGCAGATTGGAGGAGGTGGCTGTGAAGATGGTCGGGAAAGAGAACATGTGTCGGATCGAGCCCGATAAAGACGGGGAATGTTGTTGGAATATATTCATGGATTCAGTGACGGAGGGCGGGCTTGCGGGCGATCATCCTACTCTGAGAAGCATGAAGACAGAGATCGTGGATAGATGTGGTGGCCTGCCATTAGCCGCAAAGACCGTAGGGGAGATCTTGCGTGGATCTCTCTCGCCGGCAGAGAATTCGGAGCCTGAGAACGGGCTTCATCCCTGAGATCTCTGTGAAATCGGTGGCAATAAACAGATGCCAATAGATTTTTTCTTTCTAGTACTAAATTTGTCTGCAGAAACTTGTCACTTTGGTTGCAACTACAGATTAGAATTTAACTACAAACATAAATTTCTTATTTGTTCTTGTCCTGAGCAATGCTGTCAGAATCGACCCCATCTTCTGAAGAGTAAATGAGACTTGATCCTCTCATCTTCCCACGTCAAGTTATTCCACCATTGTCTCTCTCCTCGGATGATGGCGATTGGGGTCATATCATTGACGCCCACGGGGAGTGCCTTCAGCTTGGGGCACTCCTTCACCTTGAGGTGCTTTAGACATGGCAAAATACCTCCACACACACTCTTCAATTCCGGCAGTTCCCACAGACGTAGCGTGTGCAGTCTTGGAAAGGCTTCTTCTCCAATCACGGAGTGATCGTAAACGCTCTCCAGCTTATCACAGAATCTTATCTGCAGAGTTTCAAGGTTTTGGAAGCGCAGGGTTGAACAAAAGAGACCAACAAGATTTGGACAGCAATCGATATGGATGTGTTTAAGGCTAGTGAAGTTTGTTTCCTTCTCCACACCAGCAAACAAGAAGCTCAACTTTTCGAGATTTGAGATCCATAGCTTCTCCAAGCTTAAAACTTCAGACACATCCTCTAATTCTGCCGTAAAGATGCTTTCCATTTGGTCACACCTCTGAATCCAACACTCTCTCATTCCTCTGAGGTTCTGCAGTTCAAAATCCGAGAGTTGCTTCACCAACTTCACGTCATTCAAGAAGACGACATCCGCATGATGAAGGACTCCTCCAATTCCCCAAGGACGAACATGATGGATCTCCAGAAATCGGCAAGCATTCGGGGGATGCGAACAATATTTCGTTCCGAAGTAAGTTTCTCTGAAAACAAAGTTCTCGTTTTGGAAAACGAACTCACTGTCTCTGTTCGCTTCTTCGGAGGGACAAACACGAATATGGAACCTCAGAAAGCAATTATCCCACAGCGGAGAATCTTTGTCCAAGTATTGGAAGAAACTGGTGTTGCTTACAGACAAGTAACTTCTGTTGTCGTCCACGCATGTATTGATGGAGGCATACACTCCGGCGTGCTCGTCCCAAGTCAATCCAGCCTGCAGCCACTGCATGACATTCCAATCAACTGCGTTGCTCTCTGTGCACAGCTTCAGGCTCAGTAAGTGACCAGTTTTTGTGATCCCGTATGGGAATTCTGGCAGTGCAGTACCCGAAAGATCGAGCTCCTTCAGTTTTGAGGGATCTGCTATTGGAAACACACTTTCCTGGAAGTTTATGCGCCGGCATCCTCTGAGAAAAAGGCAGCGGAGTTCTGGGAGCCTGGATAAAGATGGGAAGGACTCGATTGAGGTACGAGAAAGATCAAGGACTCTCAGCATGTTCATCATAGCGAATGATCCAGGAGAGATCGTCCTCAGGGCAGAGCACCCTGAAGCGTCAAGCACCAGGAGGTTCCGTAGTGAGCGGATGTTCCGTAGCTCCTCTAAATGTTCGCAACCTTTTAGGAGTAGATATTGAAGATTGGCCAAATTGGAGGTAGAGGACGGCAAATTCGTGATTGCAGTGAAGGAAAGGTCCAAAACACTGAGAGTGAGGATCTGCCTGTTGTCAAAGAATGAGTTCGGGATTACCTTCAACCAGCGAATTCCCCGGAGAAATAAGGAGGAAAGGAAGGACTGGGGGATTTGTGGCAGTCTATCCGTGCTGCTCTCCATCAATGAGATCCTCTTGTTTCGCCCATCAGGAAACCAAATGGAAGTCAGCCCTTCTGAATGGGTGGCACAGGAATATCCATGGTCGCCTCGTTGCCTCCCAGTGTCCATGAGAACCTCTCGAACAGCTTCATGCATGCGGACATGGTCATCGTCGTCCCTGTATAATAGACGACGATGTAAAAGCAGCAGCAGGATCTTTTGAGCCTTATCGGTAGCCGCTACACTTAGATATCCTTCAGCAATCAGTCCGTCCATGAGCCAATACTGGATCAGTTCATCGTCATGGAGTGCCATATCCCCAGGGAAGAGCAAGCAGTAAACGAGGCAGTGTTTTACCTCATCGTCCGGCAACATGGAGTAAGCGAACCTTGCGGCAGTAACCTCGTTCAGCAATGCCGACGACACTTTAGCAGTTAATTCCTCATTTGCCGAATCAGTAATCGAATCCTTCAAGGCTCCTGCCATTAGCACGATCAACAAAGGCATGCCATGGCTTCCTTCCACCACCATTTGCCCGAAACGATTCACGATGCTGTGCCCAGAAATTTGGCAGAACAAATCCCACGATTCCTTTCTACTGAGCGAGCTCTGTTGGATCACGACATCAGGCTCCATCACTGTTTGTGTTCTCATGGTTCTGGTGGTGACGACGACCTTGGAGGCATTGTGCCTGGGTGTAGGTACTCCCAGTGTTGCCAGCATACGATCCTCTGTAAACCAAGCATCATCCAGCACCAACAGGAACCTCCTCCCGGATAGAAACGAATGGATCTTTTCTGTGACCCTTTCTTCATCGCCATTGTCTTCAACCACGATCGACAGGCTCTCCAGTATCTTCTGTCTCGCCCGTCTCTTGGTACAAGTGACGGACAGGGAGATCCAAAGGAAGACATCAAAGAGGGGAGAAGCCATCGCTCGACCATAAGCTTGTCTTGCGGTCCATGTCTTCCCTAGTCCAGAAATCCCGTGAACGACCACCGTCCCAACGTCGGGATTTGTTATCTCTTCCATCAAATGCTGAATGCTGCGCTCCCCCGTGGCCATTGCTCCGTCCAGAGCTCCGACAATGCAAGTGTACACCCTTGATTGAGCTAGTGTTCCTTTGTTGAAGAATATGGCTGTACCGGGACAAATGGAACTCAAAGCATTTGCTCTAAGAGAGACTCCTTAGGTGTGATCTGAAGAATGTTTCACTTGGTGTTCCAGAAAAAATGAAGTGCACGATACAAGATTGAAGGTTTCCGAGAAGCAGGGTGGACAACGCCGAGAAGGCACCGAGAACCTGCATGTTTGGTAGGTCAAAATCGAGGTGCTGATAATGATGACCAAAAAGACCGTCCCTCGTCTGACCTGTCCCGATCATTTTCCTGGAAATTGCACGCGTTTAGTCTTCGGAGGCACCTCTTTCCGATCCATTTCCACGCTCCTACAGTTCGTGATGACCGACACGCACGAAACTGGAAACTGTCTCACATTCCAGAGACCTTCCTTGATCCACACATACTTCATCATTCTTCCTAGTTCAGTTGCAGGACACATTGACACTAGATCGATGCCAGTGCAGGTTATCTGAGAGGGCTAAACAAGAGAGATCGATGCAGGTCTTCCCCTACAGGTGGAGGCTAATATGGAATGACTGGGATCTCCGGTCATTTATCTTGATCAGCTTGAGCTTGCAGATCATCCTCATCTTCTCCGGGAGCCTCAGGAAGCGCGTCGTCTCCAGCTGGATCAGCCTCATTCTCTGGTCCGCCTACCTGCTCGCCGACTGGGTCGCCACCTTCGCCCTCGGCATCCTCTCAAATACCCAAACCGACTCTGGCTGCACCTCTTCCTCTCACACCCAGAACGACGACCTCCTCGCTTTCTGGTCGCCTTTCCTTCTACTACACCTCGGCGGTCCTGATACCATCACGGCTTTCTCCCTCGAGGATAATGAGCTGTGGCTGAGGCACTTGCTGGGACTCGTGTTTCAGGTTGCTGTGGCTTTCTACGTCTTCGTTGGTTCCTTGCCGCAAACCAGGCTCAAGTCCCCAGCGGCCATGATGTTTCTCGCCGGGATTCTCAAGTACGGCGAGAGGTCATGGTCCCTCATGTGTGCGAGCATGGACTGCTTGCGAAACTCCATGGTCACGCCCCCCGACCCCGGCCCCAACTACGCCAAGTTCATGGAGGACTATGCGGCGATGTCCGCCGCCGGACTAAGAACGGAGATTGAGATGAAGAAAGAGCCAGAATCGAGACCGCGGTCATTGGATACATTGGTGGAGGAGATCCGCACAGTCACGATGGTGACGAAAGCTCATCAGTTCTTCCACACTTTCAAGCGCCTTATCGTCGACCTCATCCTCAGCTTCCACGATCGAAACGAGAGCCAGTCCTTCTTTCTCAAGCGCTCTCCCATCCAGGCTTTCAAGGTGATCGAGATCGAGCTCTCCTTCGTGTACGAGATGCTTTACACCAAGTCCACCGTCCTTCATACTGTTGCTGGCCCTGTCCTTCGTTTCACCAGTTTCTTCTTCATTCTCACTGCTCTTCTGCTTTTCTTGTTCACCGAAAAGCACGGATACAAAGAGATCGACATTATAATTACTTACACGCTCTTAGCAGGAGCTCTTGCTCTCGAGATCTATTCTGTTGGTCTGTTGATATTCTCGGATTGGGCCTCTCTCAGGCTGAAAGATCTCGGATATCCCCGACTTTCCAACATGGTCTCTGCCATAAACTCTTTCTTCCGGCCACCCAACAAGCCCAGATGGTCTAATTCCATGGCGCAGCATAATCTCATTAGCTTCTGCCTCCAACACCGTCCATCCCCATTTAACAGATTCCTCCACTTCCTCACGGTAAAAGAAGCATGGGACAGGTACTGGCATACCAGCTATTGCCCTGTTACCGACGAACTGAAAGAATTCGTCTTCGAGGACCTCAAGAACAAATCCATCGGCGCAGATGATTCCAAAGGCTACAAGCGTTTCAGCACCTGCAGAGGTAGATGGGCTCTGCAGCAGAAGGGGCATCTGAAGGAACTTGGCTGGAGCGTGGAGGTGGAATTCGACGAAAGCATTCTGTTGTGGCACATTGCCACTGATCTCTGCTTTTACTCCGACGACACCAACCAGTCGACGGATACGCTTTCTCACCGAAGGATCAGCAAGCGTGCGTCGGACTACATGCTGTACCTTCTCGTCGTGCGGCCTTTCATGCTGACCGCTGGGATTGGACAGATCAGGTACGGGGACACCTGCGCGGAGGCCAAGAACTTCTTCTCGCGTGGTGTGGAGACGCCAGATCTGGAACAAGCCTGCGAGATGCTTCTTTGCGTGGAGACCAAAGTCCCGCCTGTGCAGGTGAAAGGGGACCGAAGCAAATCGGTGTTGTTCGATGCCTGTATGCTAGCAAAAGACTTGCTGGAGGTGGAGGAGCAAAGAAGATGGAAGTTAGTGAGTGCAGTATGGGTGGAGATGCTATGTTACGCCGCAAGCAATTGCAGAGGGTACTTCCACGCGAAGCAGCTCAGCGCCGGTGGAGAGCTGCTCACGATGGTGTGGTTTCTAATGGCCCATTTAGGAATAGGGGAGCAGTATCGGATCGAAGAAGGGCATGCAAGGGCCAAATTGACGATAGAGAAGTAATTACGCTCTCCCACTACAGCTCTATTCTATCATCGAGTAAAATCTATCAACATGTAGTCGATTGGATTGATGCATGTAATCCACCGAGATGATATGTTGGAGTTATCTGAAAATATAGTCAAATATGATATTTGATTTGCATGGTTTATTTGTGGGTGTTTCAGGAAAACAAATGCATGAATGTTACAAGAAAAAGAAAAGAATTCTATCCCTGACAGACACAAGAATCTATTGTCATCTGTTTATTGCCACCGATTTCACAGAGATCTCAGGGATGAAGCTCGTTCTCAGGCTCCGAATTCTCTGCTGGTGAGAGAGATCTACGCAAGATCTCCCCTATAGTCTTTGCGGCTAATGGCAGGCCACCACATCTATCCACGATCTCTGTCTTCATGCTTCCCAGAGTAGGGTGATCGCCCGCAAGCCCGCCCTTCGTCACTGAATCCATGAATATATTCCAACAACATTCCCCGTCTTTATCGGGCTCGATCCGACACATGTTCTCTTTCCCGACCATCTTCACAGCCACCTCCTCCAATCTGCTTGTGACGATGACCGACCCGCCGCAGTCCTTCGGCAACACACGGTCAAGACGAAGATGACCGGCCCATTCACCTTCGTCCGGCAAGCCCGAGCTCATTAAGCCTTCGTACCACTCGTCGATGTTCCAGACGTCGTCGAACACGATGAGATATCTTTTGTTCATCAATTGGAGGTGGAGCGCGAACATCAACTCCGCGAGGCCACCGCTTCCTGCACCGGCTTCTGAGATGGATGTGATGGCCTCCTCCTCGACTCCCAGTGCCATTAGCATCCTCTCCAACATCTCTCTACGGACATCTCTACCTCTTTTCGCTGTCTGAGACATGCACACCCATAGCCGCGGAAAGAAGAGCCTTCTCACCGGCGGACTGTTGAAGATCATCTGCGCAAGCACTGTTTTGCCAACTCCACCCATCCCCACAACCCCGATTCCTTTGAATCCGCCGCTATCCTCTTCCAACAGCATTCTCTCTATCGCGTTGAGCTGATCGTCGAGACCATAAACCTTCGATTTGTCCACAGAACGCGAAGTCCACCTATCGAACTCCATGTCGCCGCTTAACGAACCACTACTGTAATTCTGATCCACCGCTCCATGGTTTCTGGGTTGGATACTGTGCTTGATCGCCTGCAGCCTCTTCCTCGCTTTGTACAGAAACCATAGACTCGACATGGAAGAGAGTCTTACGCGCTTCCGTTGCTTGAGGTCCGTGTGCTTCTTGGAGAGCGTTCGGCACTCGATCAGTATGTCATTGAGGTCGTACAGCGAGTCGCGGAGGAGGTCGGCGGTGCCCAGCGGCACGGAGGACCTCATTGTCACTCTAAGATCCTCCTTTATGCCCTGGAACAGAGCATGGAAGGGAACCGCCGAACTGTCTTCTTCTTCGAGCGCATCCACAAACTTCTCCATGAGGAACTGCACCATCGCCACCGCCATTCCTGTGTGCGATCTCTCGGAACTGCTCGAATTCGAGACTTCGAGTTCTGATGAAGCAGAGAAGTGGAAGAGGAAAGTGGCATTGAGGTCCCAGGAAGAGACCAGGAATCTACGGAGCGATGATGGCACTGCTACGGTCAATGTGAGGCCAAGACATGGACAGAAATGGCAACATTGGACCAATTCAACTGCTGGTTGCACGTTAGGCGGATCTGTGCCATATGTCCAATCCGTCTAAATATTGATTCGGCCGGACTTCGTCAACCTCACTGCAGCAGAAAATTCAAGGAAGTAGCATCTCTCCCTCCAGTCTCTTATCGTCTTCTGTCTCTCTTCACGCCTACACGCCAATCCATCTAAACGCGTGGGGAGTCCAAGCTTTTGGACTGCCGAGTCAACTCAAGGCCACACTCTTTCTTGTACACTTGAGAGAGCTGAGAGAGAGAGATGGAGATCTTCCCTTACAGGTGGAGGCAAGCATGGAATGACTGGGATCTCCGGTCATTCATTTTGATGAGCTTGACCTTGCAGATGATCCTCATCTTCTCCGGGAGCCACCGGAACCACGTTGTCTCCAGGTGGATCAGCTTCATCCTCTGGTCGGCCTACTTGCTCGCCGACTGGGTCGCCACCTTCGCTCTTGGCATCTTCTCCAATAACCACACTGGCTCTGACTGCGCCTCTTCCTCTCACAGCACCCTGAACGAAGACCGCCTCGCTTTCTGGTCGCCTTTCCTTCTCTTGCACCTCGGCGGCCCTGATACCATCACGGCATTCTCCCTTGAGGATAACGAGCTGTGGATGAGGCACTTGATGGGGCTCGTGTTTCAGGTTGCCGTGGCTTTCTACGTCTTTGTTGGTTCCTTGCCAGAGACAAGGCTCACGGCCCCTGCGGCCATGATGTTTCTCGCCGAGATTCTCAAGTCGGGCGAGAAGTCGTGGTCTCTTATGTCTGCGAGCATGGACAGCCTGCGGAACTCCATGGTCGAGCCCCCCGACCCCGGCACCAACTTTGCCAAGTCGATGAAGGACTACGCCTCGGTGACCGCTGCAGGAACCAGAGCGACGATTGACGTGCAGAAAGAGCCAGAATGGAGACCGTGGAAACCGAACACCTCCGAGGACCCGATTTCGCCGGTTATGATGGTGACCAAAGCTCATCAGTACTTCCACACTTTCAAGCGCCTCATGGTCGACCTCATCATCCTCAGCCTTCACGATCGGAACGATAGCCAGTCGTTCTTCCTCAAGCGCTCTCCCATCCAAGCTTCCAAGGTGATCGAGACAGAGCTCTCATTCGTTTACGAGGTCCTTTACAACAAGTCTTCCTTGCCTCACACTGTTGCAGGGCCATGGCTTCGTTTCACCAGGTTCTTCTCCATTCCTACTGCTTTTCTGCTCTTCTTGTTCACCCAAAAGCACGGATACGAAGAGATCGACATTATAATTACTTGCACGCTCTTAGTCAGAGCTCTTGTTCTTGAAATCTATTCTGTTGCTCTGTTGGCCTTCTCAAATTGGGCCTTCACAGTCCCGCATTTCCAGCTTCGTCTCCGCTACAAACTCTTTCTTGCGGCCACCGAACAAGCCGAGATGGTCTCATTCTATGGCGCAGTATAATCTCATCAGCTTCTGCCTCAAGGACCATCCATCCCCATGTAACAGATTCCTCCGCTTCCTCACGGTAAAAGAAAGACACATCTTTAGGGACCTTAAGAACAAATCCATCAGCGAAGAGGAGTCCAAAGACTCCAAGCGTTTCAGTGCCTTCAGTGGCGAATGGGCACTCGAGCAGCAGAAACATATGAAGAAATTTGGCTGGAACGTCAAGGTGGAATTCGACCAAAGCATTCTGTTGTGGCACACTGCCACTGATCTCTGCTACTAATCCCACGGCACCAAACAGAGTCTGTCGGATTACATGCTTAACTAGTCGTTGTATGGTGAGAAGCAAGCAAGCTGGAAAATAATGCTTTATAATAATAAAGCGTCAGAAAATAAAACATAGCGGGGATAGCTCAATTGGGAGAGCGTCAGACTGAAGATCTGAAGGTCGCGTGTTCGATCCACGCTCACCGCATTTTATAAAATATTTGATTTTAATCAACTCTTCTATTCTATTTTACTAATAATTTAATCAAAAGATACTCTAAAATGAATTTTTGATTCATTTAGTAGGTTAAAATATCTTCTTTTCTCAGTTTAATGTGGGATACTTATTTGTAAAGTTATATTAAATTTATAGTCACTTGACCCGCTACGATCACTCAACATAATATTTTTTACATTGATTTATTTGAAAAAAAAATTATCTTTTATTTTAAGAAAATAAAAGAAATTATAATAAAATCCAAAGTTTTTACTAAATTTTTGACATACACACAAAAGGTGAATAAAAGCTATACTTTCCATCCTCCACTAGTCCTTCATTCCTTTTAGTAAAATTATATAATTATATAAAAATTATACTGTGATACAAGGATAATGATATGATTGAAACACGTGTCAATACCCTAACGATATAGCCAATACCTCAATACTATGTCATGTCATTAATACCTCGAGACCATATAACTATCACAATGTCACTTCTTAAGTATTATAATCACATCCACACCAATACATGATCTCTAGATTCTATATGAAATAATATCACTCAAGACATATATATATATATATATAACTATTTTATTTATTAATACATGTCTTCAAGCATAACGATAAAATTTTACTATAAAAAGTCTTTTAGTTATATTCCTGAAGCTATGTGAGACTCAAGTTCTAATATATTCAATTCTAAAAAACTTAAGACCTATCTTAACTTGAGCATCGAATGAATTTTCTTGGGGATGCCTCCCATGCAGTTTTGCTAGGTTTGGCATCTTGTGATGCTAAATTTTATACCTCTGCTAGCAAACAATCTCTTAAATAAAGTTTTCTAAAAAGGATTATATGATATTTCTTTGGTCCCAAGTGATATTTTGAATGATGCTTTTAAGTTCTCACACATCAAAATTGTGCTGAATTGTACCGTAAAAGGTTGTGATCTCTTTGATTATAATGTTCTGTATTTGTATATACTAAAGATGGTGATTCCTAATTAACATTATTATTCTCAAATCATGGATTGATTGATGATCATAATATATTAGAAATATAATCATCATCAGTTATTTGTATCTTGATTTGCTTCTATCAATGATCCTTCCACTATCATGCCCTTTTAAGTTTGAGCTTCCATGGCTATCAATGAAATTAAAATACCGAGCAAGTGACTTCGTGAGAAAGTTTGAGAGTTAACTAGATATATGTATATGAGATACAACTAGCAGATAAGGCTTCTTCTTCTCGAAGAATCAGCAAAAGTCTATCGGATAATATGTTGTACCTTGTGATTATATGACCATTTGTGCTGACAGCAGGGATTGGGTAGATCCGACACGGGGACGAACACCTGTGCCGAGGCAATGAGGTTTCTGCCAGAGCCGATGAGGCAGGAGCTTGCAGGATGGTTCATGGGGTGGAAATCGGCTCCCCACCTGTAGACATGAAGGGAGATAGAAGCAAGTCAGTAGTGTTCGACGCCTGTAAGCTAGCGAAGGATTTGTTGCAGCTGGAGGAGGAAGTGAGCTAGAAGTATCCGAAAGCCAAAAATTGTAGAGAAAATATACTTTACAAAAACAAAGTGATAAAAAAAAAAATGAGCGGGGATAACTTAGTTGGGAGACCGTCAGAAGATTTGAAGGTCATTGCATGTTTATAAAATATTTTTTTTAATTAACTCTTATATTATATTTTACCAATAATTTAATAAAAATATATAATATTTTCCTTTAATCAACTCTTATATTCTATTTTACTAATAATTTAATCAAAAAATATTCTAAAATAAAATTTTGATCCATATAGGTTAAAATATCTTCTTTTCTCTGTTTGATGTGGGATATTTATTTATAAAGTCAGATTCATATTTTAATTAAATTCATAGTCACTTGACCCACTAAATATAATTTTTTTACATTAATTTATTTAAAAAAATTATCTTTTATTTCAAGAAAATAAAAGAAAATTCTAATAAAATCTAAAGTTTTTACTAAATTTTTGATATACACACAATAGGTGAAAAAAAGGCTATATTTTTCATCCTCTACAACACATTTTGTAGTCGTTTATTCCTTTTCTTGTAGGCACAATTCACTACCTTTAATAAAATTATATAATTATATAAAAATTATAGTGTGATAGAAGGATAATGATATGATTGACACACGTAACCGATATCCTAACGATGTAACTGACACCCCAATGCTATATCATGTTATTAATACCTCGAGACCATATAACTAATATAATATCACTTTTTAAATATTATAACTACATCTACACTAATACATGATCTTTAGATTCTATACAAAATGATATCACTCAAGATTAAAAAGTACACGTAGTTATTTTATATATTAATACATGTCTCCAAGCATAATAAAAAGAAATCTCACTATAAAAAGCCTCTTGGCTATATTCTTAAAGGCTCTCTAAGACTCAAGTTCTAATATATTCAATTCTAAAGCACTTAAGACCTCTCCTAACTTTAACTTAAGCATGGAATGAATTTTCTCGGGCATGTTGCCCATGCAGTTTTGCTTGGCGCCTCGTGATTCAAGAGCACTAATATGATCAGCAATTGATGTGAGATTTTAGATCTCTACTAGCAAACATTCTCTTAAACGAAGTTTTTCAATAAGGATTATATAATCTTTCTTTGGACCTTAAGTGATATTTTGAATGATGCTTTAAAGTTCTTACACATCAAGATTGTGCTGAATTGTACTATAAAAGGCTGTGATCTTATTTATTGTAATGTTTTGTATTTGTATATACTTAAAGAGGGTGATTCCCAATTAGCATGATTATTCTTGAATCATGGATTGATTGATGATCATAATATATTAGAAATATAATTTTTATCCATCATTTGTTTCTTTATTTGCTTCTATCAATGATCCTTCCACTATCATGTCCTTGTAAGTTTGAGCTTCTACCATGGGTGTCAATGAAATTAGAATACTTTACGAGAAAGTGGTTTCGTGAGGAAGTTTGATATATGGACATAGGATATATGCAATTAGAATTTAGTAATATAATATGTATTAATATAAAAATCGATGATAATATGTTTTATGTGAGAATGAAACATAGTTTAGATTGGTTATAGTAACATAGGAGCTTCAACTAATAGATAATGTAGATTGATGTGAAAGTTCTATCATTAGCATTACTTGTCCAATCAATATTAACAAAGCCACAAAGGAGAATGAATGTTTTTGAGGGAGAAATGTATGATTTAGGAGCTTTAACTGATAGATAATATAGATTGATGTGAAAGTTCTATCGTTAGCATTACTTATCCAATCAATATTAACAAAGACACGAAGGAGAATGAATGTTTTTGAAGGAGAAATGCACGATTTAAAGTGTTTTTGGGGTGTCGATACAATTCAATGCAAATCAACGATGAATATGGATAACGAATAAGTATCGGAAAGAATATATTATTGACTAATCAAAATCAAGATTCTACTATAATGTTTATTCTTGTATATATTTCTACATCTCCAATTTTTTCTCATAAAGGTAGCAAAAAAGATTATACAGAGAAGCAAATGATCATATTTATTAAATACTACTTGTTTTTTTTTGTAATTTTAATAAGGTAATATAAAATACGTTTAAATATGATTTACAATAATATTAACGTAACATGTTCCCAAATAACACGATCGCCTATCCCTCACAAGAAGTTATCTTGATCCGGCTTGGGCGACGTCAACAGAGCAGTATAGAGCCGAAGCTTCTCCTCCCCCAGCGAGGAGCACCGCGACAGAGGCCTTCGTGGTCGTATGAAGGAGAGCGACGTGAGGGTCTTCCGGTGCTTGTACCTCCGCCACGCAAGCTGCACCGCCACCGCCGCCCACGTCCGCCATCCGGGCGAGTAGTACCGTGCGCTCCTCTTCACCCTCTCGTTGGTGAACGTGTACCTGAAGTGCTGCGTCACGTACTTCACGTCGCCAGCTTCCAGCCCGAACGCCTCTGTCGGCTCCAGGGTTACCAGCGTCGAGGAAGACGGCGGCAGTCGCTCCACGAACGGCCTCCGCAGGCACCATGACAGGAGCTCGTCGCCACTGAAGTTTCCAGGCCCCAGCATGCAGCAGCTCCTGATGCCATCTCGCAGGGCTTGACTGCTCTGCAAGTGCCCTCTCACTACGAACAGCATTCTCCGGACCGGATCACCTTCTCTGGCAATCTGATGACCACAACGGGAGAGCAGCTAATGATCGAGGAAGACATGGTAATGAAGAATAAGAGAGACACTTAGTCAGGTATGTTCATGTGCTCACCACTTCCCCTTTAGGGAAGATGAGAGACTTCAGCCTATCACAGATGTTCTCGAGCACCAGTTCATCCATGTGTTGGAACAAAGGGACCTGCATCGATCGCACTTCGATCACCTCTCTGCCATCTCCAAATCTTCAACTTCTGATAAGCATTACCTGCCGAACGAGATCAAGGCAGAGGTGATACTTGATGTCCCTCCTCAGCCCGTCCGGGAAATTTCGGATCATCTCGCACTCATCCACTCCTCTCGTCGCTGCCCACCTCTGCCGCTCGTACTGCCGCACTCTCTGCCTGATCCCCTGCGTCAAGTTCCTCCTCTTCATCCACCACTCCACGCTCCGGATCCGCAAGTGCATCGCCTGCTTCTTCGACGTAGTCGCGTGTAGAAATACCTGCAATCAATCAATCATGTACCGTCTCAAATCACCAATACAACAAGATTTGTTTGTTCATATAGTCTTCATACCTTGATGTTTCCTATGAGCATGGTGACCAGAATGAGACCGCTCGTGATTATGATGATGTTGAAGACAATTTCTAGCCACTCCGTGGTGCTCTCCAAGTTGCCAAAAGTGCTGAAAGAAGAGACGCCTTCAGGCATCAACGGAGTGATCCCTAAGGAGAAAAGAAGAGACAGACCTCAGAGTCATTAGGCCCCAAAAGATGGGGAGGAGTATCTTCTCCAGCCGGTTAGTGTTAGTAACCAGAGAAACGGTCCACTTGTAGGCTCCGTACTGGAAATAGTCACTGCTATCGAGGCATCTAGTCTTTGCTTCCAAGTTCTTGGCCCAATCCAACCTGGCTTCATCCCTTGTTCTTGTTGCCGCACCATAGTAGATGGGATCCATGCAAGCCATTGTTTTTGGACCACATCCTTTTACCCGGCTGCATTGCACTCTCAGGCATTTCTCTGCCCTCTGTATTCCCAGCAGGTACCAACACGCACCCACAGCCTGTCATAACAACACCAAAGTGATCGTTTAATATGATCACAACGATCTGCAGATGTTTGTATTCGTTTTGAGGATTTCACAGGTTAATATCAGAGGTAAGGGAAGGATACCGACATGTGATGCGACGAAGTAGACCATCAAGTTTAGAGCAATTCCCCACCAAATAGTCCCAAACACATATCCTGAGAAGTTCTGCATGCGACGCAGGATGCAGACGGAGTGGTAGATCTTTGGAAGGTACTCGAAGAGGAACGTTATCAGGAAGACGGTCATCACTGTTGTCGTTGCTCCTCGCCGTAGCAGCGCCGGAGCTCCCACCCATGTGACGATCTGCATCATTGTTTTTGGCTATTAGTTACACATCTTGCAAGACTATGATTTCTACCGAGTTTAGCTCCCATTAATCGATATCTTTACCTAAAAACCATGAATTTTGGGACAAACAGGAAAACTTCATCGACCATCTCTTGCATCACTGACATGTAGTTATTGCTAACTCTGTAAATTGCTTCCGCATCCTAAACTTTTGTGTGTTAACTTAGATCTGATTTAGCATCCTTGTGTGGTAAATCCAGCAAGTTCTCATGTGAGATGTTCTTGCCGTACGATTAATCATTGTAGTAGAAACGATGCAGCTAATTTATCTTAATGCCATACGATAGACAAAGAGGCAGTGTCCAGGAAGTATCACCTGCATCACAGGGAGAACAACAAAGATATCCAAGAAGAAGCCCCTCTTAGATTTCACGTAGATCGGCATGAAATTTCCCCCTCCACCTTTCTCGCCTTTCTCTTCCCCCTCGGATCGCTTAGCGCCGTAGGCCATCTTAAGCTGCAACCATATGTTCCAGACGTGCATGGCGTCGATCATGCACCGCAAGGCCGTCACGGTGACGGCGAACCACCCGTCGACGAAGATGCACTTCAAGGCGCCGCTCACCGATAACGTGTAGAAGAAGAGTGGATCCACGATCAGTCCCAGAGCACAGGCGAGGAGGTAGATACGGTTCCACTCCCGGACCCATTTAGTGCAGGGGTCCAAAGCCCAACCATGCAGCCATCTTCCCCTGTGAGAGTCACAAGCTCCGGTGGATTCACTTGGCTTGTTCTGGCTTCCATTCTCCTCAGTTTCCTCGTGGGAGCGACTGCTTGACTCTTCACTCGACATGCGGATTTAGAGCTCCTACTAGATAGGAGACTGTGTGAAGACCGAGTAAGAGGAGGAGGGAAACTGAAGAAGGGGGCGAGGAGCTCTGTGCACAACAAAATGCTATTGAATCGGCCTACCGCAGTTGTCCTTGTGAGGCAGAGGCTGACTCACTCTCAGAACAGAGTCAACGAGATCATACGGATTTTTCCTTCATGAAACCATATAGTTTGGGATTGTTATCTTGGTGGATTCTCACTGAGATGCATATATATATATCACGTGAGTCTCTCCTGTACCATAGGCCCAAGTCATCTGACTCACAATGTGCTTGTTGTCGATCTGTAGCAGACGGCTGCTTCATAGTGAAAATGGCCAGTAAAAAGATGTTTGTTTCAATCAAACAAGATATTAGAGTTCCTAATAAGAACAGTACTACACGGAGGTGATAAAGATGAACTTTGCTACTCTCAGGATCTGTGCCATCATCAACGTGATGGTCATCAATGGGAGACAATCATTGAGCATCGGCTGTCCCTCCTAGCCATCGTTTCCAGAAACGAAGAGCAAAACCAAAACCAAGATAAGGACGTGGCATTCATATTATTTGTATTCTCTGAGAGAGAGAGAGAGAGAGAGACAGATAGGACGTACGTGGTCTGCGGCCAAAGAAGACAGTTTCCGAGCAGCTTCCTCCCTTTTGTTTGCTTGCACATCAGATCGATAATTGCTCACGGCCTCTCGTTTCTTCACAAGTTGGCGAAGTTGGCAATGGCCGAATCGTTGCGGTACGGCACGACCCACTGTGGGGAGCTTTTGGCGGATACGGTGTCTTGCGTCTGTTTCCGGTGGTGTGGCCGGACATCCATGTGTGTCTCGGTCGCGAGCGCAGCTTCCTTCCTTTTGTTTGCTTGCACATCAGATCGATCGTCGCTCACCACCGCCTCTCGTTTCTTCACAAGATGGCGAAAGTTGGCGATGGCCAAATCGATGCTGTACGGCACAATCCACTGTGGGGCGTTTTTGCGGATACGGTGTCTCGCGTCTGTTTCCGGCGGTGTGGCCGGACATCCATGTGTGTCTCCGTCGTGAGCGCGAGCGCGCGATATATATATATATATATATATACGCCATTGTTATGAGGAACTCGATGATTGATCTTTATATATACTAAACTCTGTGCTCAATTGGCTTTAAATTTGGATTAGGTATAAAAGAAACATGAAGCAGATGTTTATGATTCTATATAAAAGAATAATATAGAAGATGACATATACGAAACAATAAGATACAAGTATTATTCATCAGCATATCTGTCATCTCAATTTCATTCATAAAGCCATACGTCATATACAGTCACAGAGATAATGACCTACACTTCCGTTGGAACCTGATATCAAATTCTCAATTATAAATGCTTTTGGCATTAAAATATCCCCCAGTTTATGTGGTGTGTGCGGATCTATAGGTTGCACAAGCAACTCATTGCATTAGTTTCATGAAAGAAGTCAAACGTCTAATATTTCACTGGTCAAACTATACTTCTTAACTGCAGCTATATATTGGCATCTAATCTTTTATTAAAGGTATGCATAATTCCATAAAATCATAGCAATTATATTCTAAATCCATATATATTTAAATCCAATTAATGGGTAATAACAATTTGATCAACCTCGGCTTCCCTGGGAAGACAAACTTGTCCACCGTCAGATTTTGAGATTTCACGCATCTTGACGTCCTCTGTCGGCTTAGCCCCCTTGGAGAATCACACCGTGTGCGTGAGCTACTACTACCCTCATGTGGAGGGACCCACACTCGTGGGCCCACCATACATCATCTTTGCGCTAGAGTCGGAAGGATCCCCTCCAACTCCTCATCTCTCTGAGATCCGACTACACACCGACAGAGCGGTGATGGGAGAGTAGATAGCAGAATTGGAGGAGACGCAGAATGCGTTAGACTTGGAGAGAATCCTCGCTCCTCTATCTCATCAGTTCCCTAATAATAAAACTAAACCATAAAGAACAAAAAGTACTTCTGTTACTCACTGTAGCGGAACCCACCACGCTTACCCCGAAACGTGCCTGGCGTGGCACCCGCAAAACCGGGATCTTGAATGGGCCCCGCTACTTGTCACGCCGGTTGATCAAGGCGGGTGAACGCACCTCCGACGAAAAAAGTACGGATGCAAATAAAATATAAACCGAAAGGTAAAACCCACCTCGCAAAAACACCCCCGGAGTGTCGCGGCGGCCGCCTCTTTTGGGTCCATACGGATCACAAAATTCTTTGATCTATTGATCGCCTAATACTTTCTCCAATTGACTCCATTCCGTTCCTTCCCTCGGCCGCCGATTCTCCTCCTTCCACCGGATCCTACTGTGTCATCGGCTCCGCTTCCTCTCGAGGTTCTCCGTATTCTGATCTGATTAGATCTGCATGCATCTGGTCTTGATTTCCTTTTACTCGCTTATATTTTTTTTCGCCCTAGTTTCGGTCGGATTTTGATGCTGATGATTGCCTTTTCTTCTGATTAAGGGATGTAGTGATTAGTGTCTGGTTGGTCTAGATTTCTACTTGACTTGTAGGGCTTAAAGTCGATCTATCTATGTTCGGAAAGACGTGGGCAGAGTGGTTCAGACCTTTCATAGTATGTTGATCAACAATATAAGCTAGGTTTGAGGAGTGATGTTTATTATGTAGCCTTGGCTGCTGCGAGGATATGATGCGTACCCACTACATCGATTCCAACTCTGTTGGATGCTATTTGCGCAATTTATGATCCCGGTAACCTTTTAAGTTTGCTACTAGGAGTGGGAAGAAAGGAATATCTTCGGTGAAAGGATATACAGAATGTAACATCAAAAGGTTTTTGAAAGGATTTCAGGATTAAAACGTTTATTTCATAAGTTGTCACGTTGTCCAATATATAAAACCCCCAAAAAGAATATCAAGGATGATCATATCCTGCGCCATTGATAAGTATCGAAGATTTTGCTTGAATTCGTCTCATGGTCGGGGGCCCTTGGTAGAGATCCTTAACTTTAAATGTTTGGTCATGATGACACCAGTGGTCTTTAGCTATGTGAAATAATTGGTAAATTTTGTTTACTACGGGAATTGGAGACTGAAGCCAATCCCAGATGCATGATTGCCCATTCTGTTTGCACAAACTATGACTACGGTGATGGTGCTGTCTGTGGCAACAAGTGCACAACCATTTTTGAAAAAAATGCTTTTTTCTTTTGTGATCTTGTATATAAAATTAGTGTAATTGCCAGAAAATTTTCCCCATACTATAAATCAAATTACTATAATTAATGTGTCACTTTATTTGAATTATTCATTTCCTTGTTTGTGTAATATGATTAATGAATTAATTAAAATTGATTTCTTTAATCGTGTGGACAAGTTATGAATTTAATCATTGATTAAATAATTTAAAAATTATTAATTTATTTATTTCCTAATCAATGACATGAACTTTAAGGAAATAAATGTTCGGTGATTTCCTTGAAGAAGCTTCCCTTTTGCTTTTTTCCCAAAAGGTGCCCCTTGGTTTAGTTTTTCTTAAATGGTGGTGTCCTCTGTTTCGAAAAATACCAAAAATATCTTTCAAGCCAAACTCGGAGACACCTTAGGGACCATTGGTTCAGAGGGTACACCGATTAAAAACACTATAAAGTTTACTTCAAAACATTGTAAAGCCTACTTGAAAACACTATATATATCCAAATGCACACGTAACATCAATCAAACCAATTACAAGCCTAAAAATTTGATATTGTAATGGTTAATCGGCAATCACAACCAAAAAGGCATAATATAATATCACTTATAGTGTTTTTTCGTACCTTTATAGGGTTTTCAATACCTCAGAAAAAGATTGTAACACTATTGAAAAACATTATAAGTGATTTGAATAGAATAAAAACACACTAGAAACCATTTCATATACCAAACTAAGATTCAAATAGATATTTATAATAATTTAGGAACAACAACACAAAAATAAGGATAAAAAATTAGCATGTTACAATGTTTTGACCACCTTAAGAAAAACTCTGTAAAACTTATTTGAAAACATTATAAATCACCCAAATAGACTTGCAGCCTCAACCAAGCCAATTACAAGCCTAAAATTTAGTATCGTAATGGTCTACGAGTAATAATAACTAAAGAGATATAATATGATTTCACTTATAATGTTTTTCAATAGCTTTATAATGTCTTCAACACCGCAAAAAAAAACTAATGTTATTGGAAAATATTGTAAGTGAGCCAATTGGAATCAAAACACACTATGACCATTTGATATACTATAGTAGGATTCAAATAGGTATTCCTAATAATTTAGGAACAATATCTCCCAAATGAGGACTAAAAATTGGCCTGTTACAGCGTTTTGGCCACCACAAGAAAAACACTGTATCTAGTCCATCCACTTGGATTAGTGCACCTTATGAACCAGTAGATTGTAGCAAGAACAGTAAAATTTGTGCCGGTAAGAAGTATTTTCGGTATTATTCATAATAGATGCACCATTTGGGAACAGTAAAAACATGGGTCACCTTTGGGAAAAAAATAAAAAAGGTAGCTTTTTTTTAACAAAATTGTCTATAAATGTTTCAAATTCTATTTTTGTGTGTGAAAATAAATTAAATATGAACATTTAATTACTTCTTACCTTTTGGGGAGGGTTTATCTTCTTGTATATAAACATTCCCCTCTTTTTCATTCCTCTTTGAGATTGGCAGCGGAAAGATTAAGGATAGGATTCCCGAGAAGAGGTAGGTCCTCCACTCTTCTCTTGCAAGTTTTGATTTATATTTTGAAATTTTTGCGTTAAAATTATTATAATTTTTATGATTCACAATAATATTTAAATTTCGAAATTTTATAATTAATAAGTGATGATCATGAAATTTTGATGTTAAATTAATTATTTAATTTCATATTGATGATGCTTGACTTATAATGGTCTTTTAAGCTTAAATCATAAGTTGATGAATTTTAAGATTAATTTATTTACTGAAATTCTTATTGTTGGATTAAAATAATAGTTCTAATTCATTTAATTAGACATATCTCTATTTCAAGGAATTATATGTGAATTTCTACTATTTGATTTGGGATCGTTAATTTGTTATATTGTTTAATTCATAAAAAATATATTTTTAAATTTAATTATTTAGAAGTTTGCTTTGATGACTTAATTTAGAAAGTTTTAATGAAGTTCTTATTTTGATGATTCATTCATGCTTAATTGTTATTCTATAACATTTTAAAATGTTTTTGATAAGAAAATAGAAAATTAAAATCTAATAAGAGGGGTCAAACTTGGGTTTGACCTAAGTCAGGTTGATTAGCCAGACTAGGCCACCCAGTACATGTGGCAAGGGGTGGCCTAGCCTGTGTGGCCAAGCGCAACCCAGTTTATGAGCTAGGCATGGGCCAATTCGTGAGCCAAGCACATCCCAACCCATGTGCCAATCACGTCCTTGCCTGCGAGCCAATTGCAGCCCAACCCACTCTGTCACCCTTTGCTTAGCTCGTTGCACCTCAGCCTAACCTGCTGCTTGGGACAGGCATGTGCGATGCACGTGACCAGTCCAGGGCTCATGTGGGCCGGTCCAGTCTGGGTCAACATTGTGCAACCTGGCCCAATTTCCTCTCTCATTTATTGGTTTGAGTTCATTAATTGATTTAACCAGATCGATTTGAGTAGTTCAGGTCGGTTCACGGTGATTCTGGATCGAGTTGCAGTTTTTTATAATAGTTTTGAGGCTTGAGTGGAGGAAACTTCTTTGTCACTTGTGGCGCTGCTGTGAAGGACAAATCTTTTTCCAGTTGAAAATATTTAGCATTGTAAAGATAAGAATATTGAAATAAAAAATCTTTTTGTAAATTATGGATTTGTTATATCTGGGTCAATTAAGGTAATAACGCAATTACCCATAAGAGTCACATGGTTCATGGAGATAACTGAATCACTTATTTAAATAAGCATTTTTTGTTTGATAGTTTGTGGGATATATATTTTTTCTACAGTAACTGGTGATGCATGCTTATTGGTCTAAATGTACTGTATATTTCAAAAATCTCAATTAGTGAGCAAAGTCCTTGTTAATACTTCAAGCATTGCCAATCAGAATTTGCAGTTGTATATACAATTAATTTTAGAAAAAACTTGCATACAAATTAGTTATAGTGTTAGAGATTCTCCATCAGAATGTGATTTAAATATGTGTTACTTTCGAGAGATTTTCACATGAATCATTTAGTTCATGTTTGAATAATACATTTTTTTGTTTTGCTGCATTAAAAACTATTATATATGATGAATTGCTTGCTAGTTTTGATATTGGCGACTAAGGATTCTTGCTCTCTATGTAAATTTTAGTGTCCATGGCACGACTGGTGTACTCATATCGCTTTCAACTAATTCTGCAGGTTTCCATTTGCATCTTGGTTTAGTCTACATACCACTTCATTGATATAAGGTGATGACTAAGCCACGTAGCAGATCCATCAATGGGTTTTGCAAGATGTCAAGTATTAATGGTTGTACTTCCATGGAATCTGAGTGTTTGAATGGAAACAGGAAAGAGATGGATGTCCATGAGCCTTTCACATTGAAAGACCAACCGAGACACCGTCAACTGACACCTTTGAGGGCTTTCAGGGGTGTAGCATGTTTAGTAATATTACTTTCGACTGCTTTTATGATGATTGTTTATTGGGCCCCTGTGACCACTCTTTTATTGCGTCTTGTCAGTGTACATTACAGCAGGAAGGCAACTTCCTTTCTCTTTGCTACATGGTTATCTCTGTGGCCCTTTTTGTTTGAGAAGATTAATAAGACCAAGGTGGTTTTCTCTGGTGAAACCGTGCCTACGGAAGAGCGAGTTTTGCTCTTTGCTAACCACAGAACTGAAGTTGACTGGATGTATTTGTGGGATCTTGCATTGAGGAAGGGTCACTTGGGATACTTAAAGTATATCCTTAAGAGCAGCTTGATGAAACTGCCTATATTTGGTTGGGGGTTTCATGTTTTGGAGTTTATTGCAGTGGAAAGAAAGTGGGAAATTGATGAATTAATCATGGGAAAGAAGCTATCAAGTTTTAAAGATTCCAGAGATCCTCTGTGGCTTGTTGTTTTCCCTGAGGGCACTGACTATACGTAATGTTTCTCTATCTTTATCGTGCCACCCCTTTGGAATTTTGAAAAAATCAAGAAACATCGCTTCTATTGATCTTAAAGTATCATGTGACTTAGTAATTAGACAGTCTTATGATTTTCTGTGAATTGCTGTACCTTGTGGGCTGTTTTAACAACAATAAGTTACCATGAAATATAACATTGCTAGTTTTAAAATTCCATTTCTAGTATTAGACATGTGAAGGGATTTTGAATCTAACAGTAACAATGCCTCTGTTTGTATGCCAGTGAAAAGAAGTGTATAAAAAGCCAACAGTTTGCATCTGAAAATGGTTTGCCAATTCTGAAAAATCTGCTTATTCCGAAGACAAAGGGATTCTTTGCGTGTTTGGAAGCTTTAAGCAATTCCTTAGATGCGGGTAGGTTTGCCTTTGGGTTTCCTATATTCTGGGCAGATTGTACTAGTATTTCTTAAGTTCACTACATTTACATTGGAAGCATTTAAATTTATTTTATTATGTCTCATTGTACTGTGATCCATTGTTAAAATTCTGAATATACATTGATCTATACCATGGATCAAGTTCTGACCGATGAGGTGTTGCCTGTTCTAAGCTTCAATTTTTGAAACCCATCTTTGAGGTTTGACAGAGCAGAACTATGATTTAGTAAATAAAGATTTACTTAATGAAAGCAACCCTAATAAAGTTCTTTTTGCATTTATTTATTCGTTATTACTTTTTTAGGGAAAAGCCTGCAGACAAATATAATTTCATAAGTATATAAATGATGCAGTAGTCAGTAGGAAAAAAGTAAAATGATCGAATAGTGAAAGGAAAGGGAAAATAAAGAAAAGAAAATGTGTTTACAAAGGGTGTAGTGAGCCTATGATTTTCAGGCAGTGCACCATACCAAATAAAATTGCCCACTCTGCATCTTGGTTAGCTGTTTTACTGATATATACAGCCAATATTGACCAGTATGGAAGTTATCTCAAACATCGTGTGCTGCATCCTCAAGCTATCATTCTATGCAATTTTTATTCTTTGCACCATTGATAAGCATAGTTGCCTTATTTGCTAATTTTGGTATATCCATTCTGTGTTGGCATTGGCGAAAGTGGATCCAATTTCTCAGCCTCGCTGCCAGAAATAAATTGGAACTGGCATGAATTGAAATGATTTGTTGGACTCAACTGGGGTCTATCCAACAGGAGTATGCCATTTTTAGTCAATTATCCAATCCTTAAACTAGTTGCTATTTATTTCTGCAATCTATTTGTTTTGGTAATGTTTTTTTTTCTGTGGGCCTTTCACCCGTTGGATTTCTTAAAAGAAGGCAAAGAAAAAATTTGTGACTGATAGAGGGAGTTAGTTGATCGGCTTATTGCAACCTCACTTTCTATGTTTTTTACTTGTTTCTTCTCTGTGTTTTCATTCATTCATGATATCTCATATTGATTTTTGTACAGTTTATGATGTCACCATTGGCTACAAACATCACTGCCCGACTTTTATTGATAATGTTTTTGGTGTGGATCCTTCTGAAGTCCATATTCATGTCCAACGGGTCCTCCTCCGTGAGATACCAACATCTGAAACTGACGCAGCTAAGTGGTTGATAGAGAGATTCAGGCTCAAGGACCAACTCCTATCTGATTTTACTGCTCTTGGATATTTTCCTAATCAAGGAACTGAAGGAGATATTTCTACATTGATGTGCCTAGTAAAATGCTTCGTGGTTATAGTTTTAACAAGCATCTTCATGTACTGGACAATTTTCTCGTCTGTTTGGTTCAAAATTTACGTAGCATTCAGCTGTGCTTATCTTTCATTCACGACATACTTCAGCATACTCCCATCGCCACTATCTGCTAAGGCATTGTTCTGTGGAAAGAGCAAAACCTTGTAATTTGTATCATGTTACTCTTTTACTTATCTTGTTCCATTAAAAATATTAATATCATTATTCTAGGCTGCTGAATTTCTAGATCTTTTTGTCAGTGTTTTTATCATCATTTGCTGCACATTTTTTCTTGAAAATAAGTCTCTTTGATTCTTTTGATAGCTTAATGATGCTGTAGAATTTTCTTAAGATTCTTGCATTGTCTGTGTTCTTGACAGATTAGTGAATCCATGATTTAGAATTTCAGTTTCTTGAATGCCATTATTTTTTATATAGAATAATCATGTACTATGAGATAAAGTCCATCAAGATACTAGTGATTATTTATGTTGTCTGCATCCTCAAGTTTTCTGTGGAGCATTTCCTTAGACTATTAGGATTGACAGAGTCAGGGTCTTCTGTGTTGCAATATATTGGATGAATGGAATGAAAGGAAGGCAGAATTTTCTTCTATCGACAAAGATATTTGTTAGAAAATCTTACTGCACAAAGACTTGAACACAGACTGAATTGGGAATACAGTTAGGTAACTCAACCAGGTTCGCCTCTACTCTCATGGGACACTTCACAAGTATCAAGAAGAGTCATTTAAACTCAAGCGGCATCTATGGTGAAAGATGAGCAAAGATCTCAGAGAATAGTTTTAAAAGGTTTGTTGTTAGCATTGTCCTCAACTGTAAGTTGAGAAGTGTTATTGCCTCTTTTACTATTCTGTTGGTTGTAGCTGATTTGAGGATATCTAACTTGCATGAAAACCTTGCAGTTCTTTTCAATTCAGAACGTACAAGAAGGTGCAGCAAGAGACTGTGTGCAAGATTTGCTACAACAGTTAGCACGAAACCAGCTCACTTTTTATTCAAAATGCTTATCTTCTAATGAAAGCTGGAAAGGTTATCCCATATGCTTTTACTTACAGAGCAACAATGAGAATGAGTGACTTTTTTCGATGCTGTCATCTGTCTTTGCCGGCAGCCAATGTGAGTTTATCCTGTACTTGTGTCAACTCACTTCATCAACTAGCCATAAGATATTTTATATCGAGGAAGAATTTACCATCTGTTGTTGCTCCAGTTGTGATGGATTATGCTGTCAGTGTGGAGAGCTGATCTACTGCCAATGTGATTCGTATATCTTTGTAGGGTCTAGCTCATCAGTACTAGAGCAATGGCATCGATCACTAACAAGATCATCAAAAGTATGGTCATGGACATGGTGAGTGTTACAACTATGATGAGTCTTCTGTTGACAAAACTGCGGATGATAGTTAGCAGCATCAAGGTCATACTGGATATGAAGGTCACTGCCAGAAGCAACTTGCCGATCACGATTACAACATGACTCTGCCTTTTCTGGTTATGCTCCATGTAAATGCCGAACATGGATGCAACGATTCCTGCAATGCTCACGGCAATCTTGAATGCGACCTTGATTTTTGTCTCCGAGGCATCTTTTTGCTGCAGAGGGGAAGCTAATTGAGTGTGTGGTGCTGATGCTTCATCAAGGTGATCCACCCTTTGCTCACGAGTTATTATTTGTTGTTCACGCTATTTAGCAGGAAAACTGGTAGTTAGAACATACATCTTAAGACTTCAATTACATAAGGTATAGGTCTAACTCTTGCAGAGCCATCCTATGATTTCAAACAGAGCTCCGATATAAATTTCGTCACACATTGATTATAGGTTCGCATTTGATTGGTATAATAAGTTACCACAATTTGTTTGTTCCACAATTAGTTCCCTGTGTAATTAATATTTTTTTGTGCATATGTGTGTGTATATACTTCGATTGGAAGTTTTTGGAAGTTTCTTGGGACCATCTATTTACTTATGTTTGTGGGTAGTTATATATTCAACCTCAAAATTAGGGTCAACAAAACCTATATGTGTGTGGTGGGGGGGGGGCTTCCTAATTTTCGCAAGGATAAATATGTGAAAACTCTAATATTTATCCACAAATATGGAATGAAATAAAGTTCATTTCATATCTCATAATAAGAAGAATTTAACACATTGCCCAGTGAATAATAATAGTAATAATAAACAAATAACGGGAATGAAAAAACTAAATAATAAAAACATAATAGTCTCTTATTTATATACCTGCGTCAGATGAAGTTCCACCACGAGCCTTGCTTCAATACCCTCGCCTCTCATGGTGCTTCCCACTTCGATATCTTCGTCTGTCTCTAGTGGTGGTGTTTCCTACATAATGAGACTTTTACATATTTGATACTATTGTATATGTTAATTATATATTTGCTATTATGAGAGAGAGAGAGAGAGAGAGAGAGAGAGAGAGAGGTTTATCCACAAGAGATGAAGTCGTTGGCCATAGATATTTGCCTAAATAAGTAGGTTCTTGAGCGGATCCCATGTTGCTGCTCTCTGATTAGAAATATAAATACTTAAGCATAAGAAGCTTTTGGTCCAACTGCATTTCATCTCAAATATAATCTCTTTAGTCGGGGATATTTACCTAAATCAGTAGGTTCTTGAGTGGATCTCATGTTAGTTCCAAAACGTCGATCTTTGATAAAATATATAAATGCTCGAGCTTGAGAAGCTTCAGGACGTCCGTAAAACTCATTAGGATAAACGGTATTTATCCACAGGAGATGAAGTCCTTGGCCAACTGATCTCACGTTAGCTCCAAGAAATTGGTCTCTAATTAGAAATATAAATAAAATAATCTCTTTAGTCAATGATATTTACCTAAATCAATAGGTTCTTGAGCGGATCTCATGTTAGCTCCAAAACGTCGATCTTTGATAAGATATATAAATGCTGAGAAGCTTCAGGCCCAGAAGATCCGTAAAACTCATTAGGATAAACGGTATTTATCCACAGGAGATGAAGTCCTTGGCCAACTGATCTCACGTTAGCTCCAAGAAATTGGTCTCTAATTAGAAATATAAATAAAATAATCTCTTTAGTCAATGATATTTACCTAAAGCAATAGGTTCTTGAGCGGATCTCATGTTAGCTCCAAAACGTCGATCTTTGATAAGATATATAAATGCTGAGAAGCTTCAGGCCCAGAAGATCCGTAAAACTCATTAGGATAAACGGTATTTATCCACAGGAGATGAAGTCCTTGGCCAGCTGCATTTCATAGTTTCCCAAAAATAATCTTTTTAGTCGGGGAACACATTAGATATTTACCTAAATCAATAGGTTCTTGAACGGATCTCATGTTAGCTCCAAAACGTTGGTCTTTGACTAGAAATATAAATGCTTGAGCTTGAGAAGCTTCTGGCCCGGTAGGTCCGTAAAACTCACTAGGATAAGCGGTATTATTAAACCAGATAAATTTGGCCAACTGCATTTCATAGTTTCCCAAAAATAATCTCTTTAGTCGGGGATATTTACCTAAATCAATAGGTTCTTGTGCGGATCCCATGTTAGCTCCAAAACGTTGGTCTCTAACTAGATATATAAATGCTCGAGTTTGAGAAGCTTGTGGCCCAGTAGATCCGTAAAACCGTAAGCGGTATTATTAAACCAAACAAGAACATCTGTTTTGATGGTCGCAGAGTTTCGTAGCTCCTCACACAGCAGACGGATCTGATAACAAAGCTAGTTTGGAGAAGACTTATAAACGAGGCTCACTCACTGTATAATAATATAGCCCACCTCGTCTTATGCTTCGTGCACTGAGAATTTTCTATAACATTTCGTTCCATTTATGCCTCACCATTAGGCATTTGATTCTAAACTTGCAAGATTCGCCCACCACGATTACTGTACAATTTTCATCTGTCTTTTCTATTTGTTCCCCCACATCAAATGTGAAATTAAAATATGTTTTCGAGATCGTTTTCTCGTATACTTGGGAGTCTCGAACTTGGAACGTCATAATTACTCCGTCTTCCTTGGTGCAATTCTAATCTCATTTTTTGATGATTGATTTGATGTGATAATTCATCCATCAATCAATTCGATGATTGATCATCGACGAGTCTGGATTACTGATCAAAATATTTAAGCTTACGTTAATAATAATATCAAGCTCGTATAATCCGTTATAAACCGACTTTAAGTCTCTATCACCATCTCCATCACCAAAATCTCTCACATCCTCATAAAACAGTAATTGCTTGATGGTGTCGAGGATGACTCGTACATTAGAGAACGCATCTGTACCAAATCTGATCAGATCAATTCCAATGTTACGGCCTATTCCTCGTGTTCTCCAAGTTCGCTTTGAATGTTCGCCGCAACGAAACTGGTCCACGAAGACCCAATAAACTCCATAATCGTTGTCGTTGACTCCTTCTGTACTGGATTTCCCGGATACAAGAACAGGAATTCTGGTTGAGAAAAGCTCTTCCTGTAGCGTTTCCCTCGTCCATCAATTACTTGCGCACCATGTTAACCGGAATAAGTGCATCAACAACATCTGAATTCTGCGATTTCTCTTGGAATTTGGTCACCTAGCTCAAGCTGCCTTTGTGATATACTGCATTCGAGGAGCTTATGGCTGCCCTCACCTCCAAAAACCACTGCGTTGATGCTTGATCCGATGATAGAGAAATGGCTTCTGATTCGGTCGATCAAAGAATCACTTCTGTCGATCGCTGGGAGAAGAAAACCTATAGGCTATGGTGTTTGAAGCACAATGAGTTACAAGGACTAAACACGTGCGTACCTCAGCGACCGGAAGCATGCAACGAACGATGGCTTGCAGCGCCTTAAGGACGAAGCAGGATTCGGCGATGCAAACGAACAACGTGAGAATACCGCTTGCTCCGAGCATTGTCATCTCAGTAGTACTGAGAAGAACACACAGCAAGTGAATGGTGCACGGTAACAGATGGCGAGTGACATTTACTTATAGAGGAAGAGTCTTCGGATTTTGTTCGACGACGAAGCTTCCGAGAGAATGCAGCAGCTATGGAGCTGATGGGAGTTTCGGTCCAACAGGAAATTTAGAAGAGCTTTCGATCCATTTCTGCATCAGTTTCCTTCAAATTTCGGTGAAATTGTGACCTCTGGAAATGCTGATCGAAGTCCATCGACTGCACGTCAGTCAGGCTTTTCCTTCCTCTAAACATAATCCAGTCTTTTACTCAGTAGTTTCCTAAGATCGGTTGACAAAGAAGAGTTGCTGCCACCGAATTCCACAATTTGTCCGCAATTATGTATGAGTTAGACCCAAGTGGATGCTCAGTTTCAGACTCACCTGCGGTGCAGCAGCACTCAGAGATAAGAACGCTCTCAAAGAACACACCAATGGAGTTCGGTCAAGCTAAACTGGGATGAACAGGATGTCAAATACCGAGTGTACTTGCAGAGAAATCCTTCGGGTGTTCACGTCACAGGGAAACCGGAAACCGTGTCGAAGCAGCTTTCTCCTAAATGCAGTTTTCGAGCTTTCTATGGATCAATTTCCGCACAGATTTCCGCATCGGAGTTGCTGAGAAGCAGAGGTGATGACTGAATGCTCGGGTTCTACGTCGTCTTCGCATCTCGTTTCCTGATCGAAACCCATCAACAATGGCGACATCAAGCTTTTCTTTCATCTCAAATCAGGCTTTTTCTCGGTAGCTTCTCCTCATCAATCGACGAGAGAGAGAATTTTCTTAAAAGAATTGCACCAAAGCCGAAAGGGAAGCTTCGTGAAAGTTCATACTGCCTCTCCATGTGTTTGCAAGTTCGTATAGGTACTTTACTTTGTCTATAAGATTAAGATTGACTTGTAAGGATCTGATTAATATACTATATTAACCTCAGTTTAAATATTTTGATAAGTAATTTGAATCAAATGAAGTTATTTGTCGATTAATGCTCGATACATTTTATGTGAATAGACCGTAAGTTTCATAAATAGAAAATACAAAGTAACAAAATGATCATTAAAATAGAAAATCTAAACTAAGATCCATGCCGATCATTTCAAAAGCATAATCTTAGTAATTTGTATTAGCAATCGAATTGCTATAATATATTAACTATCAGACAGAAATATAAAAATGAAAAACCAAAAACAACTTTCAAATACAAGAAAGATGATAGATTTATATACATTATATCCAATATAAAATCATCATATCTCTTCCAACACCTTTTCATTGACAATGGATTAATCATTTCGATGTTTTCTCAGTGATTTCTAAGTATATCCTTATGATCATAAAGTGTCATAAAATGTTCAATCAATAACAATCTAAGACGATGTCATCTCCTATTAAACATATTCATAGAAATATAACAAAGAATTCTAACCAAACACATGGAATATTTAAAAAATAAAATTAGATAAAACACTTAACAAAATAAATCTAAGGACTTAATAGCATCTTAGTAAGTTTGGGTTAATGACATATCACTCTTGTAATTAGTTATTTTTAACATCAATATCCATATATTTTCAAGAGTTATATTAAGATCCTTATACTCATATAAGTAAAACATTTAATATTATTTTTCCTCACGTTGTCGATTTTACTAACGAAAATACTATAGGATCTATCATTGAGCACTTGTTGTCTTACTTTGATTTATCACTGAGTATGTACTATATTTTCATTAATAGAATTAATGGTACAAGGAGAAATAATATTAAATATCTTACTTTCGTAACTATAGGATCTCAATATAACTTTTAAAAATATAAAGATCGTTATATTAAAAATAATTAATTAGGATAATATATAATTAGCTCATAAAATCTCCAATCTAACGATTATAGTATGCATGAATGTATTAAGAAGTAATTGATGAAGTGCTTGTTTTGTTTTATTATTTAGTATATAATGTGACACAGTCACATAGTTGTAATATATATATATATATAGGTTTCATAAAAGAATCCAGAAGAATCTAATTTATAAGACAACTAACATTACAGCCCAAAAGATCAAACCAGGATAAGAGGAGGATGAATAATCCATGATTGGTTATGCAGGCTGAGAGAAGATAGCAGTCAGATAAAATGAGATGAGGTGGACAAGCTTCAGATCCTTTTGAGACCTCTCATTGGCCCAAACTAGATCCGGAAATCTCCACCTTACACTTCTGTCCAGAGCCTCTCCTTCCGTCCTCTCTCTCTCTCTCTCTCTCCCTCCTCTGCTTACATACCTTCCTCGGCATCCATTCCTCTCCATCCACCTCTCACCACCAGAAACTGAGACACAGTTCAAGACACCCACACCACAGCCGCAGAGATGGCAGCAACCCTGACTGCAGCTTCTTCTCGCGCCACCACAGTGGTCGCTCCGTCCCCATTCCTCGGCCAAACCCGGGCGTCGAGCGCCAACCCTCTCAGAGATGCTGTTCCCATGGGCAAAGGAAGGATCACCATGGTATGCCACCGTGTAGCTCTTCCCTCTCTCCATCTGAATCTAATCCAAGTAGCGCATCTGATGGTGTCATCCATGGCAGGGAAACGAGCTGTGGTATGGACCAGACCGCGTCAAGTACTTGGGCCCCTTCTCGGCGCAGACACCGTCGTACCTCAAGGGAGAGTTCCCCGGTGACTACGGCTGGGATACCGCCGGCCTTTCCGCCGACCCCGAAGCCTTTGCCAGGAACAGAGCTCTCGAGGTAACCACCTACGCCTCTGCTTCGATAGCGGCGGCGATGAACTCCGATCGTAAACCGAGAGCGTTGTTTTGTTGGTGTCAGGTGATCCATGGGAGGTGGGCAATGCTGGGGGCGTTCGGCTGCATCACCCCGGAGGTGCTGGAGAAGTGGGTGAAGGTGGACTTCAAGGAGCCGGTGTGGTTCAAGGCAGGCGCGCAGATCTTCTCCGACGGCGGGCTGGACTACCTCGGCAACCCCAACCTGGTGCACGCCCAGAGCATACTGGCCGTGCTGGGTTGCCAGGTCGTCCTCATGGGCCTGGTCGAGGGCTTCCGCATCAACGGGCTTCCCGGAGTTGGGGAGGGCAACGATCTGTACCCCGGTGGCACTTACTTCGATCCCCTGGGCCTCGCCGACGACCCCGCCACGTTCGCGGAGCTGAAGGTGAAGGAGATCAAGAACGGGAGGCTGGCGATGTTCTCCATGTTTGGGTTCTTCGTGCAGGCCATCGTGACAGGGAAGGGGCCTCTGGAGAACCTCTTGGATCATCTCGACAACCCCGTCGCTAACAATGCTTGGGTTTACGCCACCAAGTTCGTGCCAGGCTCTTAATTCCCCCTCATCATCTCTTGCTTCACTGTGTCCATGATTTGGGGAAGAACATGATTGCTGCGCGTGTTCGTTCTTGCTGTATCTACGATGTGCTCCTTAATCCTAATTTAAGCTGCTGGTATAAACATTCTCGTGATGCAAATCATTATTCTAGCCATAATTATGAACGCAATGGCTCCAAAACTCCCTTCCGGCGTTGACATTTTCAGGATAAGAACATGATTATTTAGTCGTATTATAGTTTGATTCGAAGGAGATGAATTGGGATCGAAAAAGTCACGGGCGTTGACTTGCAAAACGCTCATCAACGACATCGATTTGTTTCGTGTGTTGGCCCCTTTCTACATTTTTGTTTTTTGTTTTAAAAACATTATGAAAACAAGTTCAGACCTCAACGAGTGGACCGAAACGTTTCCGCAACGAACCCCAATCGTCTCCTTCGAGAAAGAAAACCATGTTGGCTCGTTTACCATCCACGTGGTTCACCAATCAGCCACCCACAAGTGGGACCCTTTATGGTCTCCAATCATATGGAAGGTAATGACGGTCAAGAAAATATCTGGTACGAAAAGGATCGCTCCGCAAGAATATTTCCTGGAGTGTCAGTTGGCTCGCGCCTTGAAGCGATTACCTATTTTCTATTTGATGGTAGACTCGCTCTGTCGCCTCTCTCTCTCTCTCTCTCTCTCTCGTTCGCTCGGTCGCCTTCTGTCTGTTTGGCGAAGATGGCAGATGAGGAGACGGCGATGGAAGTCCCGTGGGAGTGGATACGGGTGAACGGGGCGGTGGCTGAGGCGAGCCTGGCAGCGGACGGGACGCTGCGGTGGGGATCCAGGGGAGGCGAAAGGTGCCTGAGCTTGGAGTCGGAAGTGCTAGGGCTGGAGACCATTGGCCTCCGGATTACGATCAAGGCTTTCCTGGAGGTATCTGAGCACGGCTTCTGCGGCTTAGAGCGGTCCTCCGTGAAGAGGAGGAGGGTGAGGAGGGATTACACGTTGGAGATGCCGAACGAAGCTGCGGCGCGGCGGTGGAGCGCCAAATTGAGGGATTACATGGACTCCCTTGGTAATTAAGTACTCTATAGGTCGCTATCATTGTGTATAAAGACCAAGATTTTGGTCAAATTACTGTCGCAATTATTTCCAAAAGATACTAGTTTTATATCAACCCATTTGTCATTATGACACCACATTTAAGACATACATAATATTATTTATTGTTTTTTTCCATTATGTAAATGCCTTTTGGAAGTCAATTGAGCTATGTTGTCTGTTATCTCTTTTGCCTGTGAGTTGTGATTATATTCTAAGAAGCAAGTGAATCAGAGCATTCTGAATTTTTTTTCTCGTGGTTAATAGTATCTAAATTGTCAAATTCATCTCTTGCCTTGTAGGCCGGCCGAAGAATTTGTTTATCATTGTAAACCCATTTTCTGGAAAGAAATGTGCAAGAACGGTTTTCAAAAAAGAGATCAAGCCACTTCTTGCAGCTGCTGACATCGATTGTACCATAATTGGTGAGCATGTGACTCCTTTCTAATTTTTCTGAACTAAATTTGATTCCTCGGTTTGATGGTACTAAGAAGTTGATTTGTCATATTCTACCTCTTCAGAAACTAAGCATCGGAATCATGCTCAAGAAATCACAAAATCGTTGGATCTTCTAAAATATGATGGTATTGTGTGTGTCAGCGGTGATGGTGTTCTTGTGGAGGTTAGTAACTCATCTTGACACTCGCATGCACACAAAAGAGTCTGGTTAAAGGTGGACAGGAATTAGGAGTCTTATCTAAATCAAGACTTGTGTAATGGACAGGAAAATTGAGACTCACATGGCTTTTTATCCGGATTTTGTTAGTATTTAACTTCTTATTTTAGTATGGAACACTAATGTGTCATAAGTGGGTACCAATTATTACCTAAGAGTATTCACCATGCATTCATATATTTCTCAAGATTACCATGAAGTAACATAAAGAAAGATACATATCCTTGATAGACATTTTGGGACAACATCTCCATCTACATGTATCTGTTTACCTTTTATTCTATGGAGTCCACTACCTTTATTAATGTCCAGGCATCTATGATTTCTTGTGTTATATACCAAATCTTGATTAGCTGGAAAGCAAAGAAATATTTTGCCTCTTTTCTCTCATTATGCTATTTATTAGGTTGGTTTTAGGTGTCCTCATATCCATGGGTTCTTTGGTTTTCACCGGAAACAATATATACAAGTAGCATATTTATAGACATCCTTTAGCTTGAACTAAATCTTCCGTGGCTTAATTGTCAAACTTGATAAAACATGCACATCCCGAAAATCCTGGTATATTCCCTTTTCAAATTTCCTTAATAGTTGACAATGTTATATCCACATTTGATACTAGTTATTCTAGAATTTCTACATGCATGCTCGTACATAACCCCTGGGTTTGCCTATATTGTGATACTGATTAGTTGATATATTTTTTTCTCTTGAATTCTTCACTTCTTTTTTCATTCTCCTCATGGGTAGGTAGTTAATGGTTTGCTGAATAGAGAAGACTGGGCTACCGCAATTAAGGTACCTCTTGGGGTAATTCCAGCAGGTGTGTCTATTTTGGCATTTGTTCTGTCTTTGATATTTGTGTCTTTTGATATAAGTCAACATTTTGTTTTTTCATTGAGTAGCATTTTCGACATATATAGTGATTATAATAACACAACCTAGTAAAAGTGCATATCATTAAAGTGCATATGTCATCCAAGCAACGCTTGTTTTCCTTTGACTAGTTGAAGGCTTATTCCTAGCAACATGCTAAACTTGCTGCACACTTCAACCTCCTACGAACGTATCCTTCTCATGCCGAAGAGAAAGTTTCATTGCTCCGTGGCATCGAGTTTTGATCGCCTTGGGATGGCCACGGACAATCCATTGTCCACATACAAGCCCTTGTATGAGTACCGAATTCTTCGAGTTAATAATTCCCCTCACCTCTGTGAACTTTACACAACTCTTTCGATCGCTGAGCAACCCATCCCACCTTTCACGATCTCATCATTTACCAAGTACCCCGTTTGCCTTGAGCACCGTCAAGTTTGGTTGCCAACGTCAAGCCATAGCTCGAACTCAGCCATCCTAACCTTTGTGCGCTACACATTCTTCCCAGCTTGCTTGTCCTCGTAGTACCTCTCGCGCGAAGAGTTGACCATTCATCTGAATGTTAATCTCATATACTCGCTCCTTTGAGCGACTCTTTTCCCTACATCTCCATGCCCGTCTCCCCCAAACGATGCCCATGCTCATAGCCCTCGGCACAACTCCGCTAGGTCCCTCACGTTTGCATGCCAAGTGTTTCTAAGTATGCTTGTCTCACTCTGATACCATATGTCACGGACTTAGCTGGTTTTGCTTAAGTCGTGCGACACCCTTGCGTGTCCGTCCGCAAAGGTCAGCCTCCCCGGAACCTCCTATGGTCCCTTAGGACCTACAAAAGAGAAAATGAGTTAGAGAAAACGTTTCACTTGGGATTCACAAGCAACTATCTTAGCAAACACTTCATAGTCAATTCAAATTACAAATATAGACTTCATAAGCTCTGAACGGTCATATAACAAAGGGTCCAAAATGGTCCACTACAAATCGAAATCCCCACAAGTGCCCACATGACACAACCTTTGTTTGCAAGTCTAAGACGGCCACCAAAACCAATCAAATGGGGCTACTAAGCCTACTATTAGCCTTTAACATACTGTGCAAAGCATGAATAAAACCGAAAGATACAGACATACATGAGTATCACATCAAACACCTTGTTTACAATTTTATCTGTGATAGCTTGTTTTCCTTTGACTAGCCAAAAGCTTATACCTTTTGATTTGTTGTTCATCTAAGGGACTTGCTTTTAGTGATAGCAAAACTAATGTTATCAAATGGGTTGTATTGATTCTCATCTTGCACACCAACCCAGTCAGTACAGTGTCTACCTGAAGTTGACCAGATTGAAAATTGGTTTTAATTTTTTGCAATGTGGTTCTGGACTCAAAACGTCACAATGATATACATTTGACAGCCATTTCAGCCAGTATAGCTGAATACCTAATTTGGCCTGGATCTGATCAGTTGTCACAACCTCACAAGACCTTGTTCTTAATGTTTATTTTAAAACAGATAGTGAATTTCATGAGATGCATGATGTTTTCATCATAGGTTTCTCATGGATAGGGCATGGCCCTAGCAGATGAATGGAGATCAGTTTCCCACACATAAGTTCTCTATTGGTGCAGTAGTGAATCTTGTGATGAACTTCTCCAATCCTTGAGAATTCTTTGTTTTCTCATGTGTGTCTGTAGGGTATATAATATGTGTTGCATATGCATCAGAATTATAGAGCACAATGCTGGTTGTTGTTTATGATACTTTTGTCTTCTCGAGTAACATGGTCAAAATAAGAGTTACCTGTGCAAGATGAATGAAGAAGCAAGGATTTCCTATTCAAACATTTCTGGTTGCAAAATCTCTGGTAACATATGGTGTGCAATAGTTAGGGACATAAACTTTGCTCCATTTTACATGTACTAAAGAGAAATTTTCTTGTGTTTTTTTTACGTCTGTCATATTTTTTTTCTCATTATTTCTTGGTTGTGATTGAACTTCACCTTCTGTCTGTAGTTGACTTGCCTGTTGACTCATCTACTAATCTACATCATATCCTGAAAAGATTTTTGTTCAATCACTCATAATCACAGTGCATAAATTGATTATATGTTGTAGTCATGACACATGATGGTTATGTTGGTTTTTTCCTTGCCTTTAGGTACAGGAAATGGCATGGTGAAATCACTTTTGGATCCGGCTGGCGATTTGTGCTCTATTCCAAATGCTACATTTGCAGTTATAAGAGGTAATGTTTTGTTTGGCAACCCTGTTTCGGTTTTCACAGGATCTGTACCTTGAAGAAGGTTGGTGCAGTTGCTAACTCTATTGATAATATAATACACTACTCCAATAGCCAATCTTTGCTATGTACAGGTCACAAGCACTCTCTGGATGTTGCTATTGTCTTACAAGGAGAGAAAAAGTTTTTCAGTGTCTTGTTGCTTATCTGGGGTATGGAAAAATAAAGCCCTTTTTTGTCTGAAAACATACAATTTAAGTCTGTAAATTTTAACAGAATTATTTTATCTGGGTGGAAATTCCTATGCGTACAACTGAAAGTCATCCAATGTACCTGCAGGCTTGGTAGCTGATGTTGATATCGAATCTGAGAAGTATAGGTGGATGGGAAGTCCTCGCTTTGATATATATGTATGTCAGTCATAGTTTAGTTTCCTCAATATCTTTTACATTCCTCTTCAAAGCTTTCAAGTATAATTGTGATAAAGCAAGTTGCAATTGAGTGTTTCATATAGAAATTATATGAACTGTGCATCTAATAAGTATGTATTGGCTTATATAGCATCATTTGTTAGTGGAAGCCTAAACCCCATTTTCGCTTCGAGACATATTAAGCTATCATATTTTAAACAATTTCTAGAAGCTCTATCCTTCTTTCTTGATCATTGCTGCATTCTAGTTAAGGTTCAACTACATCTTACAGTATTCACAGTTTTAAGGGAGGAAACTAATCTTTGGAAGAGAGCTGTCAAGCAGTTGAACACCACTGAGGCACAGAATTTCTTTCTAAGAATGCTACCACAGTAACATTCCTCGATCAAAAACCTTCATTTTTATCTCTATTACTGATAGCATTCCTGGTCTGATGGTTCATTTTTTAACACCATTATCATGTGGTCTTTGCCTGTGATTATCTACGTAAGCAGATATAGAAGGATTTGCATTCAGCTCTTTGCCTGTGGTTATGCACTCCTAGTAGTATGAAGTGAGAGCACCTTTTATTTTGTTATAGGCATTGATAGGAATGTTTAGGCTGGAAATAGTGTTGAGATTCAGCCTGAAGCACTAGACAAATTTGAATATTAAAATAAAGAAACAAAAAAAGAGAGATAGATTGAAAGATGACCTGTGCTATCTTCATTCACTCATGAACTAAGAAATTACTTTCTACCTTCATGTTACTTTTTCAAACTACTAGCTTTTACGCAGCATGGGCATTATGGATGAAGAATAAGTATTCAAAAGGACCAGTAGGATTGTTGAAGATGTATTTTGGGGCTTCTATGATCTATTCGAATATTGGTAAATTGAGTGGCAGTTTAGTTCAAGGGTTGTAAAAAGATGTGTGGACAGAGACTTTATCAGATATCCTTTTGCTGCCTCTGTATTAGACATCTTCATGTGCCTTCCTAGAACCTGCATTAGCAGGATCTGTGTAGATTCGGCCTCCAGCTTGTTGGTGAACCCACTCACCCCACCTCCTCCCCCTTCAAATTGGTATAGTTGATAAGCATGCATTATTTACCCAGAATTATGCTTTATGCTATTATTAATTGTGTTGTTTACAGGCTCTTCTCCGCATAATGAAATTGCGAAAATACCACGGGCATGTCCACTTTGTTCCAGCACCTGGTTATGAAGCATATGGTGAACCAATAAAGCAAGTTGAAAACTTCAAGGGTCACATTCTACCATCTAAACAAGACCAAGGAAGTGCCACTACGGTCAAGTCATGTGGATACCAGGGACCAGAGATTTCCTTGGAGGGATTGGAATGGAGGTCCATTGTTGGTCCTTTTGTTTCACTTTGGGTCAACAATGTGCCCTTTTCGGCAGAAAATTATATCCCAGCACCTAAAGCCAAGGTAGCATTTTGCTTGTGGTCATAAGTTTCTTTCTTCACACATCACATTTCTGTTAAAAAACATGATACATTCAGGAGTGTGAGTGTTGGTTTTGCCTGTTTTATTGACATGAGAAGAGTCTCATTGAACTTTTTACTCATTGACTAGTTTGATGAGAATTCAAGCAAGCAGAGATATCTGCATGTTGATATATTCATCTTAAACATTTAATGGAACTATAGACAAGAGGTCAGATAATTATTTATACCTTTGAGGAAGAAGATGGCTGAAATAGTTCTTTCTTCAAGTTTTAATATCCTTGGAGAAGTTGTTTTTGTCTGTAATTTGTTAATTAGTATTACTCCTTGGTACATATTTCACTTCGGTAATATACATTTCACATCAGAAGGTGATTCTTTATGTTGATGCAGTTTTCAGATGGCTGCTTGGATGTAATCATAGTCAGGAATTGTCCAAGATCAGCCCTTCTAGGAATGATGTTGAAAATGAGTGATGGAAGCTACGTGAAATCATCTTATGTGATGTATTTGAAGGTGCGCCATGTGTTTCTGACCTTTTAAGTAGCTATCTCGTTCTTGGGTAGTTGTTTGTCTTCTTTTATAATACACTGAAGTTTTGCACATGAGGCAACAGTTATCCATAAAAAGAAAGATTTTGAGGCTATGATCGACTTCAAAGTTATATTAATGAAGAGAATTAGGAAGAAACATAATATAAGCTTGCACTTCCTGGCAATATATTTCAGAGTTTTAGTAGTATTATTTATTTGGCTTTAAGGTATAATGTTATTTAGACTTTAGCATCATTAGAGATGATTATGATAATAAACCAATGAGTAGTCCTGATGGAGAAAGTATTTGCTAGTGAGCTGTGCTAGTTACCAGCTAGCGATCGAAGTGAAATGTCATTTTATTTTGTAAACATCCTAAACTAGGCCGGACCTTACTTTGTTAAGCTTTATTTAGAAAGAGAAAAGATGGAGAAAGCAGCAAGATAGGATGTGAAGCTGGAACTACATTGTAAATATGTCCTTCAGGATCAAGTGTATAGCTGGAGACACTTTATAAGGACTTTTGCTAATAAAGATGTACTTCATAAAACTAAAATATGTTTAAACTGCATATTCTCAAGCTTAAACTTTAAACTATTTCTCTAACAGTTGTCTCGGAAGTGAGCAAAGCTTAGAAAGTTGGTCGAGTTATCCAAAATATTTAAAAGCTTTAGAAAATTGAACATCTTAAAAAATGGATAATAGTTTAAAGAGGAGTTGTAACACTCCCACTGAAGATGGATTAACCTGTGAGTTGCTCCTACTAGGAAAAGGACCAATAGTTGGTCACTTGCCCATTCCACCATCATATGGATTAACCTGTGAGTTGCTCCTACTAGGAAAAGGACCAATAGTTGGTAACTTGCCCATTCCACCATCATACCAGTGCAATAAATGCAATAGGAGACATGTTCTACTAGATAATGTATTTACTTTTGATTTGGTCTAGTTTTTCCTAATTGAAACACCTATATGTTTCTGTTTTCTTCGGACAAAGAACACACTTATCCATAAAAATACTTGTCACCATCTCCTGTCCATTTATCCTCTCATATGATCCCAATACAACCACTTCATTCTTTCTTCCTGGTCAATTATATATACTTTTGTAGAGCATTTCTCCTGAATCTCTGCTTTGTATGTTTGAATGTCTGGTATCTTATTTGTTATAAGCCTACCATCTGTTTGCATATATAAGCCTCTCTGTATACGCATACAAGAGCTTGGTTTATTTTGTTCACTTTGTTGATCTTTGATTTTTCAGGTCAAGGCATTCCGATTAGAGCCCGGTAAGCGTGTTGGGCATCCCACCAAAGGTGGCATCATCGACTCAGATGGTGAGGTTATAGCTAGGGGAGATGAATCTGCTGTAAACAGTGAACATAAGTATTTGATGGATTATGGTCCTCCCATTCAGATGATAGTGGACCAAGGTTTAGCTACCATATTCTCTCCCATGCCCTAAACCTAGAAGGTGGAAGAATATCCAAATAGCTGATGCCAAATAAATGGGACATTATATATATATTTTTTTCATATCTCAATTTTTTTTTTCTCGAAGGGAAAAAGAGTGGGGTTGGAATGAGAAAAGATTATATTGCTTTATTATCAAACACTGCATTATAGCTTGCATGCATGAACATCAAATGAGAGAAGGTCCAATACAGCTTTTCCATTTTTGTGCAGTAATACTTTTTGTTACTGATCTTTAACTAACCTTCTGTTCATGAAGATATATTACATTTGGTTGTTGTGTGCTTTACTGCTCCTAAGATGCTTCTCAACATATAATTGGCATCACATGTTTGTAAGATCTTGATTTCGAAACATGCTTTTTTGATCTTTATTGGCATCTACGAGACGATGGAATGTTTCTGATGACTAGTTATACTGTAGATAATATTCCCCTGTGGAACACAATGGAATCGATTATTGACGCTGCAGGTGATGTCGACCGAGGCTTGCATGGATAAATCATCGGCAAACTCGGCATTTTAGAATCAATTATTGTTGTTTTCTCACTTCTTTGAGGTTAATTATACATTATGTAGTTATAACTTTTTAATATTTTGTTTTATAGATTTAAAAAATTTATATTGAAATCTTTATAATTATGAAATAAAAACATATAATCTCATTTAATATGTATGAATGAGACGAAAAGATAATTTTAATAGTAGTGACAGATAATGACACAGTGGGTAGTTATTGTGGTGGTAATTAGCGAGAACGATACAGTGGTCGACCTTGTCGACGTCACTCCAAATATCGATGATAGGGAGAAAGAGAAGGCAAAAAGGTGATGAATATGCATCGGCACGGGAGGAGGAAGATAAGAGAGGTGAATCATCTACATCTACTTCGTAAAAAGGAAAAAGAGGGAGGTGAGGCATCTACGTCGATGTCTCATCGCTTTACCTTACATGTCTCATCTTTCTCCTCCCTTTTTGTTATCGGTGATGTAGATGTCTCGCCTACCTCCTCCGACATTGCTCTACATCTATATTGACGTTGTAGGAGGAAAATGAAGTAAAAAGATGGAGCATTGACACAGATGTCTTATCGATTTGTCTCATCTTTTTCCTCGTTGTTGTCTTCATCAGGTACATATTGTCACGTGTTATATCTTCCGTCGGTAACACGAATGCATTAAGATAAATAGAATTAAATGTGGTGCAAGATTTTGAGTTGCAGAGAATTGCAACATAGATGCAATTTAATGATAATGCAGTATCTTCTTAGGTGATCCAAAATTTAAATAGAGGACTTTGGATCAACACCATCCCTCGCCCCAATTAATCCTTTCAGTATCATCAGAAAAGGGACATGCTTGTAGTAGTAATTCCTTGCCCAAGGTTGGTCTCCTCCTCTAATGGTTGCCGCGGTTGATCATCTCCATGTGGTGCTTCAGCGACTCCTGCCGCTGCAGCCTCATCTCCTGGTTGAACTTCCTGATGAACGCCTCCACCCGCCGGTTCAGCTCCTCCTGCCCCTTCGACGCCTCCCTCCTCGGCCTCTCCCTCGACGCCGCCCCCGCCCCCGCCGCCTCGATCAACGTCTCCGACTTCCGCATCGCCGCTGCAGGCTCCTCCCGGCAAACGCCGCTGCGAGTGTCCCACGTGTCGGACTTCTTGACCGGGCGCGCCCGCCGCTCCGTGATCGTCCGCCACGTGCTCTCGAGAGTCTCATTCCGCCGCTCCAACCCGAGCGCCTTCCCTGAAATCACAGTTTTGTCCCTGCTTGGTTCAAGTAAAGTTTGTGAGCTTAGCAGGAGGGTGGGGCGAGAGAGAGTGAAACTCCACCGTCGGCGCTGGGCTCGGCGGCCTTCGGGTGGCCGAACCGGGTGGAAAGCAGCGGTTTCGCCTCCGCGGCGACCGAAGACTCCGTTGGCATCTCCGCCAGAGACCCTCTCCTCCTCTTAGGCGACCAACTCGACGTCGATATTACGAACTCCTCCTCCACCTTCGCGCGGCCGGACAACTCCCTCCGCGGCTCGTCCTCCGCAAGCTTCATCTCATACTCCGGCGCCTGGACCTCCGCGAGATTCATCACCGGGAGTGTCGAGGGGTCGGCGGCGGGGTGCTTCTGGAAGCGGGAGGAGGCGGCGATGGTGACGATGATGCCGTTGATGACGAGGTAAATGTAGGGCGGCCGGAGCCAAGCCAGGGCGGAGGCGTACGCCCTGGGGACCTCGGCGGCCAGGAACCAGACGACGGTAGGGCCCACAAGGCGGAGCGCCAGGACCATCGTCACCACCCCTGCGAAGGCAAGCACCGTCTCGAGCGCCATCGATACCCAGGATCCGCCATCGCCATTGCTCGTCTTGCGTGAGCCCATCGCCACCGTCCTTTGCGTCGGTAAGCGATCGTAACCGTTCCTTTCTCTTTATCTGCGTCGTTTCACCGTGGCAGTGGAGCAGAGGGGGTTCATTTATAACAAGAATGCTTTGAGATGGGTGGTGATGAACAATAATGATGGAACTTGGACCGTTCGATGAGGTGCAATCTTTGGTCCCAGAGACATCTCCATCCTTGGCTCAACGAAGATAATGGATTGGACGGTCCGGATTTACTGTTACCCCAGATCACACGGAATGATGAGGTGGTGGACAGGCAGAGCGCGAGGAGGTGCATGCGTGGCCACTAGGCGGGCCCCATATCCACGTAAGTTTTACGCTACTCAAAGAAGTCGAACTTGAAGCGTCGGGAACTCTCTTGAAGTTGGTGGCCAACTTCATAGTGCTTCGGCACACGTCCACAAAACGGTAGCCATGCAAGCGATTTATGGTCACATATTTGCACGTAATGTTTAAGATGTCTTCTTCTTTGTGTGCCATCTCCATCACAACCGTGGAAATTTTTATGTACGTCGAAGGCCACCATACCGACTCACCGACCATCTTTGGAAGGTTTTCGTCTACCTCATGTCTTTATTCAACCGGTCATTGCCACCCACAAGTCCATGAGAAGAGAAATATATATCATTTGATATATATATATTTTTAATATTATATATATATATATATATATGTATTAGAACTAATATTTTTGTCATTTCAAATATAACACATATATTATGTCTATAAGATACATTAAAAAAATCAAATATATACAAATTCTACACCTATGAGTGCTTGAAGGATGTCTAACAGTAGTTCGTTGACTTCAGTGTAAGGTGAGAAGGTTGAGCACTGCATACGCCATGCGCGTGGCCATGCATTGTTGACTTGCCTTGTTATGTGGTGTAGTGAGTTTGATGGGGATTAGGTTTTGAACTTTGACAATGGCAGGAAGAACGAAAAGGAGTTTCGATTTGGATTGTTGTGGTAAGTAAGCCATGATGAGATGGACAGTGCCGTTGCCAAGCGCGTGTCCTTTCTTGTGATCGCAAGAAACAGCCGTTTCCGTCTTACGTGTTCATTGAGTTGACTCACGTGTTCGTTGAGTTGACTCGTACGGGTTCAATTTAAAAAAAAATATTTTTAAAATATTAATACGATAATAATGTAAAAAAAAATTGAAGCATAGTATTCAAATTAGAGAGGATCGCATAGTAAAAATTAAAAGATAAATTATACATTCGTAATGATATAGGCAGAAAGAACCAACGATATGGATTTATTGGTGGGAAGACGTAAAAAAAATTTACTATCTTTTTATGGAGGAATTGATAATTTAGAGAACTAAATCTTATTCTAAAAGGAGAAAGTGTAACATCATACATCATGACCCAGTTCCTTAAGATTGTGTTTAATTATATGAGAGATCAAATATATATATTTTGAGTATTTACACATGAAATATCATGTATATGAGATGATGGTAACGAGACAATGCTATAAGCGATAGAATCAATCTTAATGATGATTTCAATAGTACAAACAAACCTGGGACGTATCTTTCTACGCTAGATAAGTCTTTTTCAATCAAAATAGATTCATATTCAATGATATAAAAGGGATCAAGTATATATTTTATGAGTATTAATACATGAAATGTATCATAGATATAAGATAAGGATAGTGGCAATGCAATCATCTGGGAACCAACCCAACTAAAGATCTCAAAAGAACTAAAATATAGGGCTTAGCTTTCTTTACAATGATGTCTTGTAAAACCTAACAAGAGTTTGATGGGTAGAGACAACTCAAATCAGGTTAGGTGCTTTAGTGTTATGGACTTTGTAGTGATTTGAGATTAAATCACACTTTCAACATTTATTAAAGATTAGAGTTGAAAATCTTAACTAATAAAAATTTAAAAATCTCAACTAATTTAGTTGGTAAAGATTTTGACCATTGATAGTAATATTTTTAGATCAAATCTCATCTTTATCACTTAAACTTAAAAAAACAAAATTTACACGAAGATATTGGCTTATGAGAAAAATGAGATTGGCCAAAGATGTTCTAAACTATAATTTTTTTTACAAGCACTGAAATCATGTAAGCATTGACATAATGGAAACTAAATACTTCATTTACAGGGACTGCAGTTGTAGACACTATTTACTGAGGTATTTACCCTATATATGATGCAAATCACCAAGTCGATCCACATGATCACTGATGTTTGCCATAAAAAATATACAGATGATAAGTACTCAAATCAGGCTCTTTAACTCGTATTTAAGGTTTTATCAAGTGTACCACCGAGTGGATCTCTCAGGAGAGGAGTTCACATTTATTTCGAATGACTACAAGGAACAGAACCAGCAAATCGGATCAATCACTGTAGAATAGCATGAGGTGTATATAACTTGCTTCCTTTAAGAGCATGAAAAAGCCAGTTTAGTGTTTGGAGAGCATTCCCTTCGTCAGCGACGAGAAATCATAGTCATTGCCTGATCGGCTGAGAGCGACAGAAGTTGATGCAGGCGAAGCAAAGCTCTTACTCATTCCACCTTTGGTTAGTCCATTGATTGGTGCAGCTGCTCCCATATTCCATGTTCTGGACCAGACATTTTATCAGATTACACTAATCATGCCTGAGCAAAGTAAAATCAGCAAAATATAATATTTTCACTATAAGAGAATTGCCATCAAAGAAATTTGTCAACTTCATGAAACTTGGTATGTATCTTATATGCCAGCCAGGCTTTCTGGATACTGATCAAAATCCTATTCCTTATCTGGTCCTCAACCAGAACATGGAACATTTTGGATCACGGTACAGATATAAGGTGTGTCACTTGGTTTATCTTTCAAAATAACACCTCTACAACAGAAGTTACAGAACCAATGCTTTCTGTACCTCTCCTGTAATACAGTTTGTGATACATATCAGAAACATCTTTCGTTTCATTATTCATTGTTTTGAGTCAAAACCTACCCATATTTGATTTTTTTTTCATAATTCTAATTATATAGAATTCATTGAAAAACCATAAACCAGCTTTCTTTTTTCTTTTTTTGGTCTGACCGATCTGCACCAGCAGGACCTATTCCAACCGATACGCTAGCATGCCATGTATTGGTAATAGATATGTACCAGTTCTGTACCAGTCCGACTAGGGACCAGTATGGGTCTAGTATCAGTACTTGAAACATTGGATACAAGCTTCACATTGGAACCTAAATAGTGCTATAAGCATCAATATTATAAAACACATCAACTGCGACAAAAGCCTAAACAAGAAACAAAAGAATGTGATTTCTGCATGAAATAACTAATTATATGCAGAAGTGTACCCAGATGTTGGGGAAGCTTTGTAGATCCCTGAAGGATGTCCCAGCCAATTGTTTCCTACCTGCTGCCAAAAAGAGAAAAAAAGAAGAGATTAGTATAGCTTATAGAACTGGAAATTGTCAAATAAAATAAGAATCATAGACAACTGTAATAAACTAACCTGACCGGAGATGTTCACACCCTTATGACTAGCTGGTGGCATAATTCCTGGACCTTGGTAACCAAGATTTGGCCAGTTTTGATATGGGAGACTCACATTAAGTGCAAGATAACCATTAAGAACTGTCTGATTATTAGTTCTTCCAGGCAATGTTGAATTAATACCAACAGGTTTACTTGCAGCTGTTTGAAAGGACTGCTGCTGGGAAACAGAAGCAAGTTGCTGCTGATGAATTGAATAGGGTGACGCCATATTGGGCTGCAAAAGTCATCAACATAATTTAGATTAAAGGCTTGCATATATGCAAGAAGAAAACCAACATACAACTAATACTGATGATAATACTGCACAGGGTTCCCACTTACCACCAACGCAGGGTCTCGGAAGGCCAGACAAACACAGCCTTAACCCTCCTCCCCCACCTGACGCAAACCCATAACACTCAGGTAGCAATCAAGCAATCTTACCATGGATGTCACGCAGAAATGAACCCTTATAAATAGTTACACTGGAAACACATGATACAAATTTTCTAACACTCACAAAATTTATGTGAAGTATCAAAGGTCTTAGTTTGGCAATTAACAGGTAGTTTGTGGATTTTGCAAAAATTACATGACTAAAATCAGATGCGGGTCTGAACAAAGAACACACTGTTGCTTCATGGTTGATCAGATTGTTGATAATTTAGAATTAATCATGGTTCCTAATTCGACCTTGTGAAGCATGGGTCAAGTACAGGACAATGTTACAAGATATGCACACAGCTAATCTCTAGAAAACACTACACAGCATGGATCTTGCAACTAAGACATGCTAATCGATTCATATATTGGTTTAATTAATTTGATATGTAAAGGACAATATATGATTATTTAACTATGTAACTTCTAGTACAATCATTCACACAAACAATCATTTAAAAGAACATGTCAAATACAGATGACAAAAAATAAGGAGAATTTTCCTGAAAAGGATTAAGATTACTTACGACATAGTAAGTTCAAATATAAACAAATTGCCAGAATTTAACATGTTTAGAATATATATACATATATGTAACAGTAGGTGATACATGTCCTTATATGTTAAAAAATTCTGACATGTAAGATATACAAATGTGGTGAAAAATGTGTTGCAATATGTTTTAGATATCTGAACATGTCTGGAAGTATCCAACAGGTGTTTTTGACATGAGACAGACATGGAAAGTAGTTTTAAGCACTTGTACTTCATAGATTCTGTCAAATGTGAAAACAGCCTACATGATAAACATAGGAAATGAGTAAAAGCTATTTGGAACAAATACTACAAAGTTGCATTTCATCTCATTTTTTTGCTAAAATTAAACTGGAGACACCATAACCTTTTCAAATACAGGCGTAATATCATTCTTCATGTTCCCCTGGGTTTTGACGGAAGCTGAAGATACTGTTACAGGTGGCAAATCTTTATATAAGTCTTCAATTCCTGATGCAAGCCGTCTCTTGTTTTCAACTGGTTTTGTGCTACACTTTTGCTTGATAGCAGTTGTCTCTCCTGCGGCTGCAACAATTACTGTTTAACCAACTAAAATAATTTTGGAATGATAAAGGCACTTCATAATAACACTAGTAAAAAATAACAATATAAAATGATTAACAACAGGTGAATTTCATAAGAAACATGCTTCTGGTCCTTATCATAACTTACAATGAAAACCTGCCCATGAATTATCATCCTTGGAAGATGAATCTGAGCCACTTTCACTAGGAATCTCCACTGAAAGACTATTTAAAAGATCAGTCAAATAGTCAGCTTTTGGAGGTGGTGCAGGCAGAGTATCAATTTTAGGTGTTGCAGTATCAACTCTAGCAGGAGTTGTATCCAGAGGTTGAACATTAGACTTGGCCATAGGTTGCTCTTCTTTTGGTATAGAGTAAACCTGGTTCGTCATATATCCATGACACAATACATACTTGAGAAATAGCATTGCACAAAGATAATCCAGATAAAAAGAATAAAGGAAAATCTTGATATCTGAAAAGATTAATAAGCTGCATCAAAGAAGATGTGAGAACCATGTATAAAACTTAAATTAACAACAACATGAAGGACGAAGACATTGTAATTCTAAAGCATGCTCAAGGAACATATTCTACAATTGAAGAAGGGCATGATCAAATAATTTATGTATGATATTTTCCCTCTAAAGGATCTACTAAATTTGACTTTCTTTTAAATCATTGGCAACTTTCTGGCAATATATTGCTTTTCCTAGCGAGTTTCCTGATATTGACCTTGTGCCCTTGCTAAGACATTTTATCCATAATCTGGCTGCACCTTTACAAGCTAATATCCTGTCCATCTAATAATGATTAAAATCATTGCATGTTACTAGCCAAAATTCAGAACTGCCATATGTATAACAACTTAAATAGATGATTCTTGATGACAGAACACAACTTAAAGTTAGATTGCTGGTATCTAATTTAGCCAACCAAGCATGTTATTACTACATGATATCAGAAATGGAAATACAAGATAAATAGACAGAAAAACAGACTTATGCTGGTCCAACTTAAGTAAACAATGTAGCTCCACATAAAATTATTTCGGCATATAACAAACATGACACTATATGCTCAAGAAAGAAAATCATAAGCAAATGAGAAAAATTGCATCAGAGTATAATTTTAAAAGAAATAGGACTAAATTGCTTACCTGACTTGGTAAATTAGAACGAACATTTTTCATTGAAAGATGTGGTTTTGAGCTATGTTCCACTTTGACAGTGCCTGAATCATTGGTAATTCCATGTCCAGCTCCATTCACATGCCTTTGCAAAGATTCAGAAGCCTTCTCAGGTCTTGAAGGTGATCTACGTGCTCCATTCCTAGGTATCCATCTCTTATCTTCATATCTAGCAGTCAATATCATTTTTTACATTTTATGTTTTCCAAAACGATAGTTTCTTTCTTGGAATCAAGAATTAAAGAAATTGTTAGCTCAAAATGATATGAAAGGACAAGCATACTTTGCACGAACGAAGTTTTCAATTCCAACTCTATTATAATTTGGAGGTAGTTCTGCCTCCCAATAGCTATTTGATTTTTCATTGCCCATCGCTGGAAAAAATAAAAACCAACATAAAAAATAAAAAGCAATGCATCTGTATTTTGCAGGGGATTGTCAGGGAAATGGTTTCAGATAATGCACATCTACAAGATGGAGGAAAGCTCCACTCTAGGAACTTACTTTGGATAAATGCAATCTGCTCTGGAAGCCATGTGTCCAAGGTAGCAGACCTGACCTGTAATCGACATGAAATAATTAATTCCAGCGACTGTATAGGCACAAAACTAGAAGTTCCTAATAGTTGACAGAGTGTAATATAGATCTCTAGTGCAGAATTAGCTCTCCATTCTGCAAGCGATGTAAGAAGTCTTTGAATTTGAATGGTACAAATTCTACTTAACATGATGAAACTAAGTGCATTTCCACTTCATTTTTAGTTTTGCACTTGGTGAGAAAGCTACCATATTCTTCAATAAAATATAGGGAAAAAGTTGATGCACCATGGCATAGACAAAATTGATTCAAAAGCAGGGTAAACAATAATACAAACTACAAAGTATATTAGTAGTACAGAAATCTCAGTAAAGAATGTGTCTTCATAATCCATCTAAAAATAAAAGTATATGTCTGATGTGGTAAGTACTTGGAAGTTAGAATAACCCCTCAAAAAGCGTCACTAATCACGAAATAAAAACTTAAAGAGAGCAAAATGAATAAATTAAAAATGTGATTAAATAAGTATAATGCGTGTAACTACGGAGATATGGCCCATGGATGGTGGTAGCCAATTTGGAAAGTCATCACCACTCCTAAGTCCCACATCATGTGTGGGTGTTCAATGTGACCTAAGCAGAATGTCAGATACTTAGGGGAGATTTACCATGCTGCAGTTCCGATCATATGTAAGATAAGATAGGTCAACTTTTAGTACCTTGAGTTTAAACATTTTGAACCATGTAATTAGCTTTGTATAATACATGTTGCACAAGTAGGTCTATCAAGTTTGGGTGATAACAACTGATATAAAAGCATACCTAGGACTATGATAGTGTGAAAAATTGGGTCCCAAATAGAAAGGCTATCTATGAATGGTACACAGGTTACATCATGAGGTCGTATCACCACTATGATGTTTTGTATCTCGAATGTCACTTATCAAACCCTTTTGGCAATCTGTTAAGCCCTGGCAAGGATATCGATCTTTTAGGTGAGGAAGGTTATAATTTAATCCCACATTATATGCCAATGATAAATCAGGTAGTCATATAATAATAAATCAACCTATTGACAGCAAATTAAGCTAAAAAAATTTTATCACTGGGGCGAAGGCCTGATCTACCTAAGTTATTGGACTAGTAGATTATATGGTTGGATTGTTTCAGAGAGTCGAGGTCAAATCATTGTTGATAATGCAAAATACTGCCAAAGCATCTATAGAAAGTCATTGTGGTAATTTGAAGCAGCTTAAAGAATCACTGCTACAATTAAAATTCACATGTGACCTTTGATATGTGTACTCCCAAACTTCTGTGGATTCCCGAACATTGCATGCATATAAAGATTCCCAAATTCACACTAGCCCATCGTGGACCTCTGCAAGATTATGACACGAATCAGGTTGCATAAACATATATGATATATCTAAACTAAAAAACTGGTTGAATAACAAAGATATAAGGCATGATAAAGAAAAAATTGCATAGGAGTCTTATATACAATTGCTTTGAGTGAAAATGCACAGTTATGGAAATGACTGTCAGAACCTAAACAGATCTTTAAGTGCCAAAACAGGATAAATAATTTTCGTTCACAAAATTAAGCAATATTGTTAAGGAATGCTTTAGCAAATTACAAATATTATATTTAATAAAAGGATCCACATAAAAGCTTCTAAGTAATGGGCAAGAAGAAAATGCATGTATTTAGAAAGAATTTGAGTGCGTTGAGAATCTTTGCCTTAGAAAACTTCGAATCTTCATTTTACGTACATTGCTCCAAGATACGAACTTTATATTGTGCACAGAAAAGTTCATGGAGATGGCACATATTGCATGAAAGAAAAAAGTTTTATTCTTTCTGAAGTTCCTGCAACAACTATTCCCAAAGAAATCTGGATCAGAGAATTTCCATCTCAATTATTACCTACCACATAGAGTCGTAGCATGGAGTATTTACACATGCCAGCTTATGATCGAATGAAAGACACACCTAAGATAGAGCTTATAAGAGGAAATGCAAATCCCAGGTCACCAACTGAAATAGCTCTTTCTCAGAAATAAAATGCTGCATGTTAATTCACAGGTGAAGCCACCATTAAACTTTAAAAGTATAATTTTCTTGGAATATGATCACAAATTAAAAGTTTGTTCTCTATCTAACATCAAATTGTCCAAAAAATTGTTGACCTTTCTTTTGCAGAAGTTATATCAACTTAGATCAATTTCAGATAACGGATGGATCTCATTAAGTTGAAAAGCCAAGGTATCAAATAATGTCCATACTGACCTGGGCCAAGAATTACCAGTCTAACAGCCAACCTAGACATAAACCAAGTGATTTCATCCAGTTTCATCTGGCACCTGGGAATGTCCTGTTCAGTGAACTCACTATACCAGACTTATCGGGTGGTAAATAGTTAGACCAGTATCTACACTCATTTTTATTTTCTTTCTTATAACAAATGTATTGATAGTTGTGTTGTTTTTCCCTTTTGGTTTCATTTCCTTCATCCTCACACACTCTCTCCCTCTCACTCTATTTCTCCCTCTCCCCTCCTCCACCACCCCCTCCTCTTCCCCTCCATGCTGTCATAGCTGCCTTCTCCATCCTGTCATGTTGCCACCATCTCCTTCTTGTGCTGCTCACCATTTCCTCCAAATATGCCTAGTCCTCCTCCACCAGTCCTCTTTTCTTCTCTAACTATTCTGCCAATCCTCCTCTTCTCCTTCTCCCATCTTCTCTCCAATTCAGAAGTACTGACCGGTATAGAGTTACAGAGTGTCAGTAATTTGGCCCATATAGGAACCATATTGGTCCAAGTGTCGATTGATATCAGCACCAGATGAGATTTTAAACATTGGAAAGGAAAACCTCAAACATAGCATAATAGAGGATACTCTTTAAATGAGATATCACAGCTTATTTTATACAACAACAGTAATCATAAAGTAAGAACAATCAAAGATGTAATCTTAAGTAGGTTGCATGGACAACGGACATGTGCTTGTATACATACATCAATACGTACATAAATAGGGTATGACGTGAAAGGAAAAGTTGAGAAGTAAAAAATATCCTCTAAAAAAAATTAATTAATTTATTATATTCATTGACTCACCTCAGTCATTTCACTTGCAAGAGCCCTATGCACTATGCAATCTTTTAGATATAACATCTTAATACTCTTGATTAGCTAGTGTTTGTGATATGTCAATTAACAGGAATAATGAAAGATATTTTATTCCATAGATCTTAGAAGGTAACTAAAAGAATATATAATTACAGTCAAGATTCTTAATCACACTAATGGACAATGGTGACAAAGGATAAGAATGTGTAGGTTGTTATCTTCTAACTCTATAGAACAAACAAAAGTGTAGTGCTCATATTACAATTAAAAAATATAATCATATTTTATCCCCCTTGCAAGACATATCCCAGATGAATCACTCAAAATTGCTTCGGAGTCCAACTCAAAATAACGAGTTCTCAGCAGCTAAATAGTGGCAATCACATAGTAACGAGCTTTCTTACTTGGCTTTGCAGTCAGCACATTCTCTGTTCTCTTGCAACTTAAGAAGACCCTCCAATATCTGAAATATACAAAAGCAGAAAAAATTTGCCTTGTGAGATGCAACTCGAATTACCATTTGATCAGTCATATAAAGAAACAGATGATGGCTCTAAAGCAGCAACCTCACTGGATTTGTCTGGTTGATATATGAAGAGGCCAAACGTACTTGCATAAGTAAGAAGATAAAATATTTGCCATTTGATCATGGTCTAAAAAAGAAGACTCTGAAATAGCACTTCACTGGAATTGTCCAAAATCATATAATAAGGGGTAAAAAGTACTCACAGTAACAGGAAGATATAATATGAAACATGAAAGTGGAAGCTCGAAAAGGTATTTTATAGAAAACATCAAATAGAGGCATTCAGATCTTCATGCAGTAGAGACTTTGTTCTGTGAACCAAATAATACCGCAATCAAGCAAAAAACAATATGGATAATAGATAATACTAAAGTATGCTTTGCAGCATGTGAGAGTTGAGGTTCTTACACCCCTATAAGGTAACCCTTATTCACGTAACCTCCCATCGAGCCATCTTTCTTTGTGCAACCCCAAGTTCCCTTGACCAATCTATGGTAACTTCCAAATCAATCAACTATTTTCACTTCAATTTATAATTGATGGAGAACAAAGTAAGAGTTGAGAAGCAAAAAAAGAACACCATCAAATACTAACAACACGTTCAGAGATATAATCTACACAGAAGGACGCATCAGCCCTATCTAAGGAAGAACCTAGGGCTTATTCAACGACAAGATTCGAACACCAAATCAGAATCACTTGAGACCCCACACCGAGTGCCCGCCGATTTCCAAAAGAACCGCATGGAAACGTAGGCAAACCAAAGGGGAAATAATCTCTGACCTACGAAACTTCGAAAGGAGCGAAAAGATCGCATTTTTGGCGGCGGACTGAACAGAAAAAAGATGGGAAAGAGGAGACCTTTCTGTGCTTGGCGTTGAGCTCCTTGGAAACACAGGCCTTCCCGTTCATGCTGATGTCCTCCGTGCGGATCTACCCGGAATTCGAAGTCGATTCGAGCAAGGGTGGAGCAAATAGATACCTCGATGACAATCCCAGGTCAGAACAGGTTTCCTCCGCGGCTCTCCTTGCCACAAAGAGCCTTGCCTCGATCGTCTTCCTGCCTATTTCCGCCTTTGTTTGTGTGATTGAATCCTTCTTCTACATTGCAATTGGCAGGGGAAGGTGGCTTTTCACACGTAAAGAATGGCACTACGACAGTAACACGACTGCAGAGTAGTCAAAGTCCGACGTGGTTGGGAACGACTCTGATAACACGCAGGAGAAGGAATTCATAGTCAAATCCATACTAATAAATGCCATCAGATGTGGAAACTGCGGTGGCGACTGTTCCGAATGGAAGTCGATGCTTTTACACGACACTATCGATGTTCGTCCTTACTCTGCTGGCTGTTCTTTTAGTGCGTGTTTGCAGGCAATTTTTGGTATTTAGTGTAAACTAATCTTTCTATTTTGACATGTTGGATGGATCTGACATGAGGATGGACAAAAAAATCTTGATACAAGTGATTGTGATATATGAACAAAATTTATCATTATGGTATATAAATAATTATATACTGATGATGATGATGGTCAAATATCTTATCGTCGTGTGATTAATATATCTTCGTCATGATCGAATAGTCTGGTACATCTTTCAAATAATAGTCCTATAGAACTATTAACTATAAATTTTTTTATAAAGAATATGACGAGGATGGGTTTGAATTTAGGACTTTACGATAAATAGTCAAAGTCATTACCAATACATTTATACTCGTAAATTCAACACTTAAATATTGAAGGGGATTATAAGATTCGTCTCGACATAATCTTATAGCATCTTAGCTCAAATTTTCTTTCGAGCGACACTATGTTATTTTGAGATAAACATAAAGAAAATCTTAATTAGCTCTACACTATCATCCATATCAAACAAATATAATTTAGCTCAATAGGACTCAAAACATATAAGACGAATAAAATAAAGAGCAGAGAGAGAAAGAAGGATAAGAAATGGAAGGAAGAGATTAAAAAAGCAAGTGTGTTTCTTCTTTTTTTTTCTTATACTATTTGTGTTAATTATCATTTTTAATTCACCTGTAAATTCATTAATACAATAAAAAACATATATGTTATGAATCTGGGTATTAATAACATTAGTTTTTCTATTTTAAATGATTTTGTGGATCTTAAGTTGAATTTGGATAGATTTTCACTTAAACCATATAAAAACATGTAATAATTCTTGACATACTCATCCTTTTTGCCATCCTAAATGATAAGTGAGCTGCTCTTAGCTAAAAATCAGTTATGGGCAGCATAAATTGCTTCATTAGAATTGGTAATTGTGTTTTTTAAGAAACCCTTAATTATTTAATTACAAGAAAACAAGCTTGTTTGAAGCAACATGTTTGAACATAAAATTCATATTTGAAAGATCTATAATTGGAGGAAAAAATTCCTTAGATTTTAAATATTTAATTATTATATAAATATCTTATTTTGATTTTTTATATATCTCAAGAAAGATTCATATATAATCGATCCTAAATAATTGAGATTTATAATTTTATTTTTATTATATATATATATATAAACTTATTTATTTTATAGTTTTATATTTATGAAAATCTCCCCACGCGTAAAATAATATGACTGTTAATGTAATATGTCAAATTAGTGATGTCATTGTTTCTATGTTGGTAGTGTCCCCTGCCTCCCTCTGTGAGTTAATTACACGAGATAATTAATTATTCTTAGTATTTTAATTTCTGTGAGTTAATTACACGAGATAATTAATTATTCTTAGTATTTTAATTTTTATATTTTCAAAAGTTATATTGAGATTAAAAGTGAAACATTTAACCTCGTTGCTCCAATCAAATCATACTCTCTATTAATTTTTAATCATGTGAAATTAATTTTTTAATTTTGTATAGGAATCTTAATGTTTTACTTCCATAATTATAGGAGTCCTAACGTAACTAAAAATAATTAATTATAAAGGTAATGTTTAATTAGCCCTCCCTTTCTTCTTCTATTTAATGAACTCGATCGGCGCTGAATCGTCTCCTCCGTAGCTCGTTACCGCTCCCTCATGGCGAGACCACTCGACGCCTCGTCGCCTTTGGCTGCTCCGGGCGTTGCATGGCTCACCTTTGCGATCCAACTCCATCTCTTCCTCCTTGTTGTCCTCTTCGTTTGCTGCTACTTGATGGTGGCCATTGCCTTGTACATCGCCATCGGAGCTGCACTCGGATGGTGTAAAAGACGAGCTAAGAGGTCTGCAGCCATGGCTTTCGCTGCCACGATCCCGCGTGCCGTCTACGTCGTCCCTTCTTCTTCTTCTTCTTCTTCTCCTGCTCCGCCGTCGTCGACTTCTGTTTCCGCCGTGGTTCCCCAGACCGTCATGGAGAGCTGCATCATCTGCATGGAGGAGTTCGTGAGTGGCGAGGAGCTGTGGGTGCTGCCGCGATGCAAGCACTGGTTCCATGGGGAGTGCATCAGACGATGGTTGCTGGTACCATCAATGACCTGCCCCATCTGTAGGATGCTTATGATCGGGGTGGAAGTTCGTCCTGGCAGAAGTCTTTTCAGCAACACCATCAACACGCCCTTTCTCGTTCCAATGTGTCTAATCTTATCTGTCATCACCTCCCTGATTGTGATCATAGCTGTACATACATGATAAGGATTTGTGTTTATAGTTCTCGAGTGTCCAACCTTATACATGATAAAGGTTTTTAATGTCTTTAGTTACAGGAAAATTAACCAAGTTTGTTTAAAGAAACAAGTTTTGAAATACTTATTTACATCATAAAGATTTATGATTGAAGAAAACATTCCATAGATTTTACCTATTACTTTTACAAGATTAAAGATATGTATCTTCGGATTTTGGTGTGGGTAATTCTTAATCTTGCACCATACAAATACTTCATATTCAATCTCATATTGTTATTCTTTTTCTCTTTTGTTATATATATATATTCCAACTAAAAACACAGTCATATTCTAGTGGGATTCGGATTCGGATCTCCCACGTCATGTCGGACTTCATGCTGCTACTTCCCTTCCATATAATGAACTCGATCGGTCCTCCTCAAACCAAGAATCGTCTACTCCCGCACTCTCATGGCGAGGCTACTCCATGCCCCCTGCGTCGCTCCAGCCGCCACAGGACCCTCCCTTAATGCGCAATTCGATGCCTTACTGGTCATTTTCTCCTTCGTTATCAGCTTCATGATCGGGGCCATTATCATATTCGGCCTAAGAGTTACATACATACGGTGATCAAGAGAGGAGATCAATGTGGCAAGATTATGGTAAGTATAATTTTTCGACATGATATCAAAACACATTTGAACATAGAATATTAGATATTGAATATCAAAGAATAACCAGTAACATTCATTAAAAAAAAAAGAAACTGAAAATACCACAATCAAGAAGGTAATTGACAAAAGAGATTGCAATAAAAATGATGAGCAATAAAGAACAAGTGAAAAGACAAAGAAAATTAATCATATTTTTCAAGATTATGGATTTTATAAATTTTCTATATGAGACATAAAGATGACAAAAAATACTCATCAATTAATTATACTGTTGGAACTGGCAAGTTTTCTTTTTTTGGGAAATCTTCTTTTATCTTTCATTATGGGAAAACTCAACAATTTTGTTTAAAGGAAAAATTTTAGAATTTATATTTGAAATATTCACGATTGTAGAAAAGATTGTCTTTCATTTTATGGATTACTTATTATATAATTATTATATGTTTCTCACCATTTTCATATGTGGAAAAGGAGAAAGTAACTTTTACATACTCTAGAAGTTGGACAAGAGGTTTTGAGTTTGGATTTTAGTTGACTCAAATAAAGAATTTATATATATATATATATATATATATATATATATTATAATATAGTTTTTGTCCCAATTAGGAAATCCTTAGATGTGACAATTTCCAAAAATAAAGAAATGGAATTTTCTCTCTTCCGCCCCTTCTTGTAGTAGTAGTACTTACGTACTACCTTTTCTTCTATTTAATGAACATGATCGGCCTTCCTCAAACCCAAAAACATCTCCATCATGGTTGTGCTCGTCTTTCTCGTTCCTCTCAGCTTCATTTCCTGGTTCGTGATCATGGTTATTATCTTGTTCTTCCTCATCAAATCTATGTTCCCAAGCCGTGAACGACGAAGAAAGAGGCCTGTGGATATGACTTTCCTCAGTAAAATCCCGCGTGTCGTCTACGTCGTTCCTTCTTCTCAGTTGCCGTCGTCGCCTTTTGTTTCTGCCGTCGCTACTGCGGTCGACCCAGAAAGCTGCCCCATTTGCAGGGAGGAGTTCGTGAATGGCGAGGAGCTGTGGGTGCTACCACGATGCGAGCATTTGTTCCATGGGGTCTGCATTAAAAGATGGTTGCTTTTGCCATCGAGGACTTGCCCCATCTGTAGGAGGTTTGTCGTACCAAATTTTAGTGAGATAGAGAGAGACATGAATGTCGACTAAGTACAAGTATAGGTACAAGACAACACAAATTTCTTTCTTTTGCTAAGTGTTATCATTACCATTGACTCTTTAAATTTTAAGATCACCAAAGAATTGTTGAATACAAACATGAAATCTTTATTGAATTATGTTCAATAAATGAATCTTTATTGAATTATCATTACCACTCCTCCTGGGACTTGTTTAAGTTCATAGATAGTACTTGTTAATCATATACATGAATAATAAAACTAAAGAGTCATTGAATATAAGAAATGTTGAGCTACTAATTTTTCTAGTCGAGTAATTAGTGTGAATACTTTTTCATGTTTAATTGTATATTATTGCTTGTATCGCTTTATAACCAATTAGACCTTTTGTTTCTCCTTTTTCTTTTTTATCGTATAGTCTTTAGGAAGTGTAATGTGCTCCCAAGTATTATTTTTTTAGCTGCATAGTATATTTTCAAAGGTTAGTATGCAATGTATTTTCTTTGAGGATTGTAGAAAGAGGAAAAAGAAAAAGAGGAGAAAAGAGGAGAGAAAGAGAAGAAGGAAGAGAGAAAACAGAAACCATAAGAGATTTTACTGAAATTCTATTTTGACATCAAGAGATTTAGATTTAATCCAAGTAAATAATGTCAAGTATTTTTTTTCTTAAGCTTTCCTATGGATTAGAAATGTATATAAAATAATAATTTAGTTCATTTTTAATATTTTAGTTTAATACAAGTGTGGTTTTATATATATATATATATATATATA